ACGTGATGGGTGATGGTGTCGTGATGGGTGATGGTGTCGTGATGAGTGATGGTGACGTGATGGTGACGTGATGGGTGATGGTGACGTGATGGGTGATGGTGACGTGATGGGTGATGGTGTCGTGATGAGTGATGGTGTCGTGATGAGTGATGGTGACGTGATGAGTGATGGTGTCGTGATGAGTGATGGTGACGTGATGGGTGATGGTGACGTGATGGGTGATGGTGTCGTGATGAGTGATGGTGTCGTGATGAGTGATGGTGACGTGATGGGTGATGGTGACGTGATGGGTGATGGTGACGTGATGAGTGATGGTGACGTGATGAGTGATGGTGTCGTGATGAGTGATGGTGTCGTGATGAGTGATGGTGACGTGATGGGTGATGGTGACGTGATGGGTGATGGTGTCGTGATGGGTGATGGTGTCGTGATGAGTGATGGTGACGTGATGGTGACGTGATGGGTGATGGTGACGTGATGGGTGATGGTGACGTGATGGGTGATGGTGTCGTGATGAATGATGGTGACGTGATGGGTGATGGTGACGTGATGGGTGATGGTGACGTGATGGGTGATGGTGACGTGATGAGTGATGGTGTCGTGATGAGTGATGGTGACGTGATGAGTGATTGTGACGTGATGAGTGATGGTGACGTGATGGGTGATGGTGTCGTGATGAATGATGGTGACGTGATGGGTGATGGTGACGTGATGAGTGATGGTGACGTGATGGGTGATGGTGACGTGATGAGTGATTGTGACGTGATGAGTGATGGTGACGTGATGAGTGATGGTGACGTGATGAGTGATGGTGACGTGATGGGTGATGGTGACGTGATGAGTGATTGTGACGTGATGGGTGATGGTGACGTGATGAGTGATGGTGACGTGATGGGTGATGGTGACGTGATGAGTGATGGTGACGTGATGGGTGATGGTGACGTGATGGGTGATGGTGACGTGATGAGTGATGGTGACGTGATGGTGACGTGATGGGTGATGGTGACGTGATGGGTGATGGTGACGTGATGGGTGATGGTGACGTGATGGGTGATGGTGACGTGATGGGTGATGGTGACGTGATGAGTGATGGTGACGTGATGGTGACGTGATGGGTGATGGTGACGTGATGGGTGATGGTGACGTGATGGGTGATGGTGACGTGATGGGTGATGGTGACGTGATGGGTGATGGTGACGTGATGAGTGATGGTGACGTGATGGGTGATGGTGACGTGATGGTGACGTGATGAGTGATGGTGACGTGATGGGTGATGGTGACGTGATGAGTGATGGTGACGTGATGGGTGATGGTGACGTGATGGGTGATGGTGACGTGATGAGTGATGGTGACGTGATGGGTGATGGTGACGTGATGGGTGATGGTGACGTGATGAGTGATGGTGACGTGATGGGTGATGGTGACGTGATGGGTGATGGTGTCATGATGGGTGATGGTGACGTGATGGGTGATGGTGTCGTGATGAGTGATGGTGTTAACGGAGGGCGTGCGCACCCGAGTTCGATTCCCGGCCGCGGCTAACGTCAGTGGCAGAACATCGGAACGGGTCGCCGGGTCCCCCCCTATGTCGACTCAGAGTTCAATGACTAACCTGGTGTTGGGGGAGACAAAGGCGGTCAGGCGCGGTGATGGCCAATACCGCCAGTCGTGTACCGGGCTTGCCTTCATAGATGCTCGCCAATGGCATTTGCCTTAATGGTTTGTTGAAGGCTACCTGGGGGATCTTTGTGCTTGTGTGTGTACCTCGTCTCTGTAATATGTGCAGGGCTGGATGGACACGCATGCTCTGCTTGAGGAGCGGCGGCGTAGCGCTTAGAACCCACTTCGATTCCCGCTCGCGACCACCAACACCGGTGACGATTATCTGAACCGGTCCTGGGCCTCCCCTAGGTCGACTCGGCCTCAAATGAGTGCCTGGTGCAGTGTGTAAACATCGCCATCATCGTAGGCGCTCGCTAACAGAGCTTGCCCCGAACAACAGCCCCGCTAAAGGTTTGTGTACGGGGGATCTTTGGCTCTTGTTTGATCGTCCTTGTGTGCGCGCGTGAGTATTGGCGTCGCTCTCCGTGCATCCGTGCAACATTCCTGAGCCACAGAGGCGCAGAGGCCTGAACACGTCATGGCGGCCAGCAACGAGCAGCACTGACGCGTGTGCGGTAGCTCGGCAGCACTACGACACGTTCCGTTGCTTTGAGCGAGGAGGAGGCTCTGCGTATTTACACCGTGGGGGATTGCGGTCGAGAAGTCGACGGGCAGGCAATCCCAACGTGCATGCGTTGTGTATCTGCGTATGCAGGTGATGAGAGTGGGGTGTATGTGTGTGTAGTAGTAGTAGCGGTGGTGTAGCGGATAGCGCGCTGCGCTATGAACCTGGCGATCCGAGTTCGATTACCGCTCACGGGCAACACCAGTGACGATTAGCAGAACCGGTCCTTGGCCCTCCCCTAGGTCGACTCAGCCTAAAACGAGTACCTGGTGCTATGTGTAAACATCGCTAGGCAGAGAACGGCGGCCCGGGCGTGGTGCTGGCCACCCACCCCCTCGTGTGCCGTGCCCTGCCCTCAGAGGTGCTCGCTAACAGCACTTGCTCCAAAAGTCTGTTAAGGCTACACGGGGGATCTTTGTCTTTGCCTTTTTTGTAGTATTAGGTGTGTGTGTGTATATAGTAGGTGTGTGAGTGTGTGTAGTAGAATAGTGTAGTAGGTGTGTGTGTGTAGTAGTAGGAGTGTGTGTATGTGTGAAGTAGGTATTCGTGTGTGTAGTAGTAGGTGTGTGTGTGTGTAGTAGTAGGAGTGTGTGTATGTGTGCAATAGGTGTGTGTGTGTAGCAGTAGGAGTGTGAGTAGGTGTGTGTGTGTGTAGTAGTAGGAGTGTGTGTATGTGTGCAGTAGGTGTGTGTGTGTAGTAGTAGTAGGATTGTGTGTATGTGTGCAGTAGGTGTGTGTGTGTAGCAGTAGGTGAGTGTGAGTAGGCGTGTGTGTGTAGCAATAGGAGTGTGAGTAGGTGTGTGTGTGTGGTAGTAGGATTGTGTGTGTGTGTGCAGTAGGTGAGTGTGAGTAGGTGTGTGTGTGTAGCAGTAGGATTGTGTGTATATGTGCAGTAGGTGTGTGTGTGGTAGTAGGATTGTGTGTGTGTGTGTGCAGTAGGTGAGTGTGAGTAGGTGTGTGTGTGTTTAGCAGTAGGATTGTGTGTATGTGTGTAGTAGGTGTGTGTGTGTGGTAGTAGGATTGTGTGTGTGTGTGTGCAGTAGGTGAGTGTGAGTAGGTGTGTGTGTGTGTAGCAGTAGGATTGTGTGTATGTGTGCAGTAGGTGTGTGTGGTAGTAGGATTGTGTGTGTGTCGCGTCCCACTGAGAGCCATTAGCTGGCAGCAGAGCCAAATTGAGATCGCCGAGGTGGAACCACGCCAACTGTGCCGCGCTCTAAAACCTCCCCCTCCCGCCGCCGCGCGCCCCGCACTAAACAGCAATTCCTGCGGAGCAATCTGTGAAATACGGGACTCCCGGGGCGCCGGGAAGGCGGGGAGGAGAGATGGAGGGGAGAGAAGAGAGAGAGGGGGAGGGGGGTAGAACGAGAGGCTGACTACGCGCGCAACTTTGCCAGGGCGTCGAGATGAGTGGCATCGCGGTTGGCATCGAGGGGGTGGGGGGAGCGCTTTATTACGCCTTGCGCGTGCCGTGTGTGAAGCCCTCCTCCACCCGGCCGCAGCCGATGGGTGAGGGTTGGCCCGGGATCGAGCGTGCCGATCTGTTTGTACTGCGGCTCTCCACTTGGCGTGCAAGTGGAGCGCGATCCACAAACAACAGACAGCGCCGTGGTGTGTAGCGATTCGGTAGGAGCGTTGTAAGCTCAGCTGCGCCGTACGCATTAATTGCTTGAAACGTCTGAGTCCGGGCGAGGGGTGAGTGGGTGGGGGGTCACAGAGTAGTCACGTGGGGTACACGGTGTGGGGGGGGGGGCAGCAGAGGGCAGCGCAGAAGAGGAATAGAGTACGGGCGGTCCTTGACTTACGAACATAACTCGTTCCCGGGGCGCGTACGTAAATCGAACTGTTCGTAAGTCGGAGCACAGTAATATACCGTGCGTTGCTGGACTGTGCTTCTATGCTCCTCCGCGCGCAGTCTGTGCCGCCCACCTTGGCCGATGCCCGCTTGGTGGTGTGCGGTCGAACGACATCTGTAATATGTTTTTAGAAGTATTTAATGATGTACCTGTCTATCTATCTAGGAGATGTACCTGTCTATCTATCTAGGAGAGCCACACTGAGACCTCGGACTATTGTTCACGATGGTCCTGCTGCTACATTGGGTTTTTATTTGTCAGATGTTTTCAGCTCATTAATCCTGAGCTATGTGTATTATTATTATTATACAAGTAGGAAGGAAACCAGAACAGCCAGGGAAAACCCACGCGTGCGAGGTGACAACGCTCTATCCCCGCACAGCTGGAGACGGGTGGCGATGAGTCCACTTGCTGTATTGACTTCTTCTGGCGAGCATTGCACTCCCTGGTCGCCCACGGGAAGGGAGTTTCACGACATCTTTGTGTGATCCACCAACCATGCTCGCTGCTGCCTCCACAGCGCTGGCTCACAGACCACGTGCACCGGGGCTGCCAGCACCACCACCCGGCTGGAAACCTTGGGACACTCTGACCTGGTGACCTTGGGACTCTGACCTGGTGACTCTGACCTGGTGACCTTGACGAAGCCAACTCGCTGGAAAATCACGGCGTTGCTGTGAAATATCCGCTTATGCTGGGCATGATTGGGTGTCTTGATGAAGTGCTGGGTGTCCTCAGTGCAGGGTGCCGCGTGAGCGAGCGCCGGCCTTTTTTTCCTGCTGGGTTGTCGTAACAAATGTTCTGGATGTCGTGACCTGCGGCTGTCACGAGCGAGTGCCGGGCGCGCCGCGTGGGGCGCTGCGTGCCCGCAAGGTCACCGCTGGGCGCTCTCTCCGCCGTCGCTTCCTTCCTTCCTGCAGGGTGCGAGAGAACGGCTCTCTCGACCGCGACTCGCTGGGACCCCCCGCGAAGCGCGGGTGCACGACGAGCCCCGCGCAGCGCTACAGCCCCGGGCAGCAGCAGCAGCAGCAGCAAGCCATCAACGGACTCCCTCCTCCATCGCTGCCGCACGGGGGGCCCATGTCCCTGGGCCCTCAGGCCACGCCGCCTCCGGTCCCTCCCCCGGCGCCCACCGCGGTGGGCGGGTCTCACTACGCGCACGGCGGCGGCGGCGGCGGCGGCGGCGGCGCAGCCACCGGGTCGCACCCCCCTCCGCCGCGCCTGCTGGAGGGCGTCCACGGCGTCTCGTCGCACCTCTACCGGGAGGGGGCCCCCTCCTCCTACCGGGGGGACGTGCACGACCTCCGCGACAGACACCGGTCGCTCGGTACGCGTGGCGCGCGCATTCGTGGGTGGGCGGGTGGGTTGACGGATGGACAGAGAGATGGATGGACACGTGGATGGTTGGACACGTGGATGGTTGGGTGGACAGAGAGATGGATGGGCACGTGGATGGTTGGACACGTGGATGGTTGGGTGGACAGAGAGATGGATGGACACGTGGATGGTTGGACACGTGGATGGTTGGGTGGACAGAGAGATGGATGGACACGTGGATGGTTGGACACGTGGATAGTTGGACAAATATATGGACGGATGGATAGATGGATGAACAGGTGGATGGACAAATCTATTAATTGGATGGAAGGACATATGAATGGATGTATGGACGGGGAGAAGCGTGGATGGGCAGATGAATGTATGTATGTATGTTGAACTTCTTTTGCACGGTACGTAGCCAACCCTGGTAATCGTAGGTGCAGGGAAGGACAACAAACTAAACACGTAACATCAGTTCTTAAGAAATGAGTTGTCAATGTAGATTTAAATATGCTGACACATAGCTGGATGGATGTACAGGTTACTGGACGAATATCTGGACATGCAGCGGGATGTGCATCTACTGTATGTGGATGGATGAGCGGACGAGTAGATGGATGGGTAGACAGACGAAGAGACCCCAATCCAAAAATCCAATACATTTTTGAAAAATATGTCGTCTGTGTGTGATTTATAGTGTCTGATGCAAGGTGTGGTTCACGGTGTGGTGTATGCTGTGGTGTATGGTGTATATGTGTGGTGTATGTGAGGTATATGGTGTATATGTGTGGTGTATGTGCGGTGTATGTGTTGTGTATATGTGTGGTATAACGAGTGGTGTATGTGGTGTATGTGCGGTGTGTGATGTGGGGAGCGGTAGTGTAGCGGTTCGCACGCTGCGCTATGAACCCAGCGACCGGAGTTAGATTCCCGCTCGCGACCAACACGAGTGACAATTATGTGAACCGGTCCTGGGTCTCCCCTAGGTTGACTCAACCTTAAATGAGTACCTGGTGCGATGGGTCAACGTCACCACGCATTCGGCGCTACTCGCTGACCGCACACTTGCTCCGACAGTCTGTTACAGGCTACGCGGGGGGGGGGGGGGGGGTTCTTTGTCTTTGCGTGTTCGATGCGGTGTGGTGACTGCGTAGGACTGGGAGCCCCGAGGCAGGAAGAGGTCATTGACCATCGCCTCACTGACCGCGAGTGGGCCGAGGAGTGGAAACACCTGGACCAGGTGAGGCCCCCCGCGTGTCCCCGGGGAAGCTCCCGCACGCGGAGCGGATCGTCGTTGTTGTCCCGACGTTTCGCAAGTCGATCCCTGAGGAGTCATCCGGCCTGTTGATTCGGCACGATGTCCGACGTTTCGTTCCACGACCATTGTAGCTTCTTCGGAGCAACCCGATAGCCCATAATGGAACGGTAAGATGGTTCATTGGCGCGAGGTGACCGCTGAACTCCGGCACCGCTGAGGGTTGGGGGTTCCAGTCCGGGTTAGGCTCCAAGTCGTACAGAGAACAGCTGTTGGTTGTGGGCCCCAGATGACATTTGATGGTGCAGGGGGCCCCCCACTGCACCCCAGCACCCCGAGCCGCTCTCGACCTGCGCCCCCCGCCCCCTCACCCCCGCGCAGCTGCTCGCGTGCATCCTGGAGATGGTGGAGAGGACGCGGCGCGCGCTCTCCGTGCTGCGTCGCTGCCAGGAGAGCGACCGCGTGGAGATCGCGCGCCTCGTGCGCCGCTGCGGGGACGCGGCGGCCGCCGCCCACGACGCCAAGAAGGGGCCGGGACCCCTCGGCGGGGTCCTGGGAGCGGGGCTCTCGGCGGGGCTCGGAGGCGGAGGCGGTGGGGGGGGAGGAGGAGGGGGTGGGCTGGGGGGAGCGGGGATGGCTTCGGCGGCGGGGCTCGGCTCGGGGGTCGTGGGGGTCTCGCCCAAGCTTGCCGGGGTCACGGCGGCGGCGGCTCCGATTGGTGCGTGGCGCGGGGGTCGAACTCTGACCTGTGCCGCCCCCCCCCCCATCTATCGCTCTCTCCCTCGCATCATTATGACGAGCCGTGTTCTATCCACTGCTGGGTGACGACCTCCATCTCCTATTCTCTGTTTTCTCTCAATCGCGCATCTCCACTTAGCCTCTCTCTTTTCTCATCTCTCTCTCTCTCTGCGCATATTTAGTTTTGTCTCTCCCCCTTCCTCTGTGCTTTCTGTACTTCTCTCGCTGTCTCTCTCCTTCTCTCTCTCTCTGTGTGTCTCCTTCCCTCTGGCTCTCCCTCCTCCCCACCCCACTCCCCCTTTGCGTCTCTCTCCTTTCTTCCTCTCTCCATCTCTTCTCCTCTCTTTTCTCTACATCTGTCTCTCGCTTTCTCTCGCTCTTCCCCCGTGGGTCTCTCCACGCTCCGTGTCTTCCGATCAATGCTTTTTACTCTGACAGGCGCGAGATGAGCGTGCGTGTCTGTACGCGTGTCTGTACACGTGTCTGTATGTGTCTGTAGGCGTGCGTGTCTGTACACGTGTCTGTACACGTGCGCGTCTGTATGCGTGCGTCCGTGCGTGTGGAGTGAGGAGCGGTGGTGCAGTGGTTAGCGCACTGCGCGACGAACCCGGCCACCCGAGTTCAACTCCCGCTTATGACCAATAACAGCGGCGAATATTTATAACCGGTCCTTGGCCACCCTCTCCCCCTAGGTCGACTCAGCCTTAAGTGAGTACCTCGTGCGGTGTGGAAACACAGCACCGGGGAGACAAAGGCGGCCGCGGGTAGTGTTGGTCACCGTCCCCCTTGTGTGCCGTGCTCGCTAACAGCGCTCGCCCCAACAGTCTGTTGTCAAGGCTGCACAGAGGATCTGCGCCTGGTTTATTACTACACGCGTTTTATTAACTCACTCTGTCTGTTGTTGTTGTTGTTGTCGTCGTTGTATCCTCAAATCTTGTAACTCAATTTTAACCCACTTCCCAATGTGGTCTCGACTGCAAACTTGGTATGCTTATGTCATACTGATGAACATACTATATTCTATCATAAAAAAATATGTATTTTCAAACAATATTTTTTATGATAATTGGTTCTTTACCCTTCTATCTGGCAACAAAACTGACACCTTTTTGCAAGGAGTCATGTTTGCATAGACCGCAATACCTGCAGTCATAAATACAAACAAAAGACATAACTCTGATAATGTGCACTGTCCTTAAAGTTGATTGGTCCACACCCGAGACAGCTTTCCTTCGAGCCTAGTCTCATATGGGTTGGACCAGATGACGCCAAAAGGCGCACAACTCAAGGACAATGCACCATCAGAGTATGAGAGCTCGGGGCAAGCATCTACACTATGGGGACCTCATTTGCCAGTAAAAATATGATAATTGGTTCTTTACCCTTCTATCTGGCAACAAAACTGACACCTTTTTGCAAGGAGTCATGTTTGCATAGACCGCAATACCTGCAGTCATAAATACAAACAAAAGACATAACTCTGATAATGTGCACTGTCCTTAAAGTTGATTGGTCCACACCCGAGACAGCTTTCCTTCGAGCCTAGTCTCATATGGGTTGGACCAGATGACGCCAAAAGGCGCACAACTCAAGGACAATGCACCATCAGAGTATGAGAGCTCGGGGCAAGCATCTACACTATGGGGACCTCATTTGCCAGTAAAAATATGATAATTGGTTCTTTACCCTTCTATCTGGCAACAAAACTGACACCTTTTTGCAAGGAGTCATGTTTGCATAGACCGCAATACCTGCAGTCATAAATACAAACAAAAGACATAACTCTGATAATGTGCACTGTCCTTAAAGTTGATTGGTCCACACCCGAGACAGCTTTCCTTCGAGCCTAGTCTCATATGGGTTGGACCAGATGACGCCAAAAGGCGCACAACTCAAGGACAATGCACCATCAGAGTATGAGAGCTCGGGGCAAGCATCTACACTATGGGGACCTCATTTGCCAGTAAAAATATGATAATTGGTTCTTTACCCTTCTATCTGGCAACAAAACTGACACCTTTTTGCAAGGAGTCATGTTTGCATAGACCGCAATACCTGCAGTCATAAATACAAACAAAAGACATAACTCTGATAATGTGCACTGTCCTTAAAGTTGATTGGTCCACACCCGAGACAGCTTTCCTTCGAGCCTAGTCTCATATGGGTTGGACCAGATGACGCCAAAAGGCGCACAACTCAAGGACAATGCACCATCAGAGTATGAGAGCTCGGGGCAAGCATCTACACTATGGGGACCTCATTTGCCAGTAAAAATATGATAATTGGTTCTTTACCCTTCTATCTGGCAACAAAACTGACACCTTTTTGCAAGGAGTCATGTTTGCATAGACCGCAATACCTGCAGTCATAAATACAAACAAAAGACATAACTCTGATAATGTGCACTGTCCTTAAAGTTGATTGGTCCACACCCGAGACAGCTTTCCTTCGAGCCTAGTCTCATATGGGTTGGACCAGATGACGCCAAAAGGCGCACAACTCAAGGACAATGCACCATCAGAGTATGAGAGCTCGGGGCAAGCATCTACACTATGGGGACCTCATTTGCCAGTAAAAATATGATAATTGGTTCTTTACCCTTCTATCTGGCAACAAAACTGACACCTTTTTGCAAGGAGTCATGTTTGCATAGACCGCAATACCTGCAGTCATAAATACAAACAAAAGACATAACTCTGATAATGTGCACTGTCCTTAAAGTTGATTGGTCCACACCCGAGACAGCTTTCCTTCGAGCCTAGTCTCATATGGGTTGGACCAGATGACGCCAAAAGGCGCACAACTCAAGGACAATGCACCATCAGAGTATGAGAGCTCGGGGCAAGCATCTACACTATGGGGACCTCATTTGCCAGTAAAAATATGATAATTGGTTCTTTACCCTTCTATCTGGCAACAAAACTGACACCTTTTTGCAAGGAGTCATGTTTGCATAGACCGCAATACCTGCAGTCATAAATAGAAGGGTAAAGAACCAATTATCATATTTTTACTGGCAAATGAGGTCCCCATAGTGTAGATGCTTGCCCCGAGCTCTCATACTCTGATGGTGCATTGTCCTTGAGTTGTGCGCCTTTTGGCGTCATCTGGTCCAACCCATATGAGACTAGGCTCGAAGGAAAGCTGTCTCGGGTGTGGACCAATCAACTTTAAGGACAGTGCACATTATCAGAGTTATGTCTTTTGTTTGTATTTATGACTGCAGGTATTGCGGTCTATGCAAACATGACTCCTTGCAAAAAGGTGTCAGTTTTGTTGCCAGATAGAAGGGTAAAGAACCAATTATCATATTTTTACTGGCAAATGAGGTCCCCATAGTGTAGATGCTTGCCCCGAGCTCTCATACTCTGATGGTGCATTGTCCTTGAGTTGTGCGCCTTTTGGCGTCATCTGGTCCAACCCATATGAGACTAGGCTCGAAGGAAAGCTGTCTCGGGTGTGGACCAATCAACTTTAAGGACAGTGCACATTATCAGAGTTATGTCTTTTGTTTGTATTTATGACTGCAGGTATTGCGGTCTATGCAAACATGACTCCTTGCAAAAAGGTGTCAGTTTTGTTGCCAGATAGAAGGGTAAAGAACCAATTATCATATTTTTACTGGCAAATGAGGTCCCCATAGTGTAGATGCTTGCCCCGAGCTCTCATACTCTGATGGTGCATTGTCCTTGAGTTGTGCGCCTTTTGGCGTCATCTGGTCCAACCCATATGAGACTAGGCTCGAAGGAAAGCTGTCTCGGGTGTGGACCAATCAACTTTAAGGACAGTGCACATTATCAGAGTTATGTCTTTTGTTTGTATTTATGACTGCAGGTATTGCGGTCTATGCAAACATGACTCCTTGCAAAAAGGTGTCAGTTTTGTTGCCAGATAGAAGGGTAAAGAACCAATTATCATATTTTTACTGGCAAATGAGGTCCCCATAGTGTAGATGCTTGCCCCGAGCTCTCATACTCTGATGGTGCATTGTCCTTGAGTTGTGCGCCTTTTGGCGTCATCTGGTCCAACCCATATGAGACTAGGCTCGAAGGAAAGCTGTCTCGGGTGTGGACCAATCAACTTTAAGGACAGTGCACATTATCAGAGTTATGTCTTTTGTTTGTATTTATGACTGCAGGTATTGCGGTCTATGCAAACATGACTCCTTGCAAAAAGGTGTCAGTTTTGTTGCCAGATAGAAGGGTAAAGAACCAATTATCATATTTTTACTGGCAAATGAGGTCCCCATAGTGTAGATGCTTGCCCCGAGCTCTCATACTCTGATGGTGCATTGTCCTTGAGTTGTGCGCCTTTTGGCGTCATCTGGTCCAACCCATATGAGACTAGGCTCGAAGGAAAGCTGTCTCGGGTGTGGACCAATCAACTTTAAGGACAGTGCACATTATCAGAGTTATGTCTTTTGTTTGTATTTATGACTGCAGGTATTGCGGTCTATGCAAACATGACTCCTTGCAAAAAGGTGTCAGTTTTGTTGCCAGATAGAAGGGTAAAGAACCAATTATCATATTTTTACTGGCAAATGAGGTCCCCATAGTGTAGATGCTTGCCCCGAGCTCTCATACTCTGATGGTGCATTGTCCTTGAGTTGTGCGCCTTTTGGCGTCATCTGGTCCAACCCATATGAGACTAGGCTCGAAGGAAAGCTGTCTCGGGTGTGGACCAATCAACTTTAAGGACAGTGCACATTATCAGAGTTATGTCTTTTGTTTGTATTTATGACTGCAGGTATTGCGGTCTATGCAAACATGACTCCTTGCAAAAAGGTGTCAGTTTTGTTGCCAGATAGAAGGGTAAAGAACCAATTATCATATTTTTACTGGCAAATGAGGTCCCCATAGTGTAGATGCTTGCCCCGAGCTCTCATACTCTGATGGTGCATTGTCCTTGAGTTGTGCGCCTTTTGGCGTCATCTGGTCCAACCCATATGAGACTAGGCTCGAAGGAAAGCTGTCTCGGGTGTGGACCAATCAACTTTAAGGACAGTGCACATTATCAGAGTTATGTCTTTTGTTTGTATTTATGACTGCAGGTATTGCGGTCTATGCAAACATGACTCCTTGCAAAAAGGTGTCAGTTTTGTTGCCAGATAGAAGGGTAAAGAACCAATTATCATATTTTTACTGGCAAATGAGGTCCCCATAGTGTAGATGCTTGCCCCGAGCTCTCATACTCTGATGGTGCATTGTCCTTGAGTTGTGCGCCTTTTGGCGTCATCTGGTCCAACCCATATGAGACTAGGCTCGAAGGAAAGCTGTCTCGGGTGTGGACCAATCAACTTTAAGGACAGTGCACATTATCAGAGTTATGTCTTTTGTTTGTATTTATGACTGCAGGTATTGCGGTCTATGCAAACATGACTCCTTGCAAAAAGGTGTCAGTTTTGTTGCCAGATAGAAGGGTAAAGAACCAATTATCATATTTTTACTGGCAAATGAGGTCCCCATAGTGTAGATGCTTGCCCCGAGCTCTCATACTCTGATGGTGCATTGTCCTTGAGTTGTGCGCCTTTTGGCGTCATCTGGTCCAACCCATATGAGACTAGGCTCGAAGGAAAGCTGTCTCGGGTGTGGACCAATCAACTTTAAGGACAGTGCACATTATCAGAGTTATGTCTTTTGTTTGTATTTATGACTGCAGGTATTGCGGTCTATGCAAACATGACTCCTTGCAAAAAGGTGTCAGTTTTGTTGCCAGATAGAAGGGTAAAGAACCAATTATCATATTTTTACTGGCAAATGAGGTCCCCATAGTGTAGATGCTTGCCCCGAGCTCTCATACTCTGATGGTGCATTGTCCTTGAGTTGTGCGCCTTTTGGCGTCATCTGGTCCAACCCATATGAGACTAGGCTCGAAGGAAAGCTGTCTCGGGTGTGGACCAATCAACTTTAAGGACAGTGCACATTATCAGAGTTATGTCTTTTGTTTGTATTTATGACTGCAGGTATTGCGGTCTATGCAAACATGACTCCTTGCAAAAAGGTGTCAGTTTTGTTGCCAGATAGAAGGGTAAAGAACCAATTATCATATTTTTACTGGCAAATGAGGTCCCCATAGTGTAGATGCTTGCCCCGAGCTCTCATACTCTGATGGTGCATTGTCCTTGAGTTGTGCGCCTTTTGGCGTCATCTGGTCCAACCCATATGAGACTAGGCTCGAAGGAAAGCTGTCTCGGGTGTGGACCAATCAACTTTAAGGACAGTGCACATTATCAGAGTTATGTCTTTTGTTTGTATTTATGACTGCAGGTATTGCGGTCTATGCAAACATGACTCCTTGCAAAAAGGTGTCAGTTTTGTTGCCAGATAGAAGGGTAAAGAACCAATTATCATATTTTTACTGGCAAATGAGGTCCCCATAGTGTAGATGCTTGCCCCGAGCTCTCATACTCTGATGGTGCATTGTCCTTGAGTTGTGCGCCTTTTGGCGTCATCTGGTCCAACCCATATGAGACTAGGCTCGAAGGAAAGCTGTCTCGGGTGTGGACCAATCAACTTTAAGGACAGTGCACATTATCAGAGTTATGTCTTTTGTTTGTATTTATGACTGCAGGTATTGCGGTCTATGCAAACATGACTCCTTGCAAAAAGGTGTCAGTTTTGTTGCCAGATAGAAGGGTAAAGAACCAATTATCATATTTTTACTGGCAAATGAGGTCCCCATAGAATATTTTTTATATGTTATGTTTCGGCTTGGGTCTAACTGTCCACGCTCAACTCACGTTGGCATTAATTAGCCACGACCCCTGGCGTTATGGCAAGCTTCGGGGCCACTTCCTGGAGTCGTGGAGTTCTGCCATTACGAGTACATTTAAAAAAGCGTGTTTTTAAAAAAAGTTTTTTTTAATATGTTACTTATTATTGGGCGTGTGAGTGAATGGGTGGGTGGGTGTGCTGGTGGGATCTTCAGGGTTGGTGGTGGTTGTGCACGCTGTGGAAGAGACGACACAGGCAGTCTGTTAGGCCGAGTCCTGGAAATGGGTGGAGGAGTGAATGAGGTCGTTCCACGGGAACAGGAACCAGGATCGTGGCTGAACGCCACCTGTGGTGAATCATAGCATGCTCGATTATCAATCAACCTCAGTGCTTTAGATTGATTCTTGTCTCTCCTTGTCTCTGTGTCTCCGCGTGTCTCTGTATGAGTCTCTGTGCGTGTCTCTGTGCGTGTGTCTGTGCGTGTCTCTGTCTGTGTCTCTGTGTGTGTCTCTGTGCGTGTCTCTGTGTGTGTCTCTGTGCGTGTCTCTGTGCGTGTGTCCGTGTGTGTCTCTGTGCGTGTCTCTGTGTGTGTCTCTGTGTGTGTCTCTGTGTGTCTCTGTGTCTCTCTCTGTGTGTCTCTGTGTGCGTCTCTGTGTTTCTGTGTCTCCGCGTGTCTCTGTATGAGTCTCTGTGCGTGTCCCTGTGCGTGTGTCTGTGCGTGTCTCTGTCTGTGTCTTTGTCTGTGTCTCCGCGTGTCTCTGTCTGTGTCTCCGCGTGTCTCTGTGCGAGTCTCTCTGCGTGTGTCTGTGCGTGTCTCTGTGCGTGTCTCTGTTTCTCTCTGTGTGTCTGTGTGTCTCTGTGTGTGTCTCTGTACGTGTCTCTGTATCTCTGTGCGTGTGTCTACGTCTCTGTGTGTGTCTCTGTTCGTGTCTCTGTGCGTGTGTCTGTGCGTGTCTCTGTGTGTGTCTCTGTGCGTGTGTCTTTGTCTCTGTGTGTGTCTCTGTGCGTGTCTTTGTGTGTGTGTCTGTGCGTGTCTCTGTGTGTGTCTATGTGCGTGTCTGTGTCTCTGTGTGTGTCTCTGTGCGTGTCTCCACGTGTCTCTGTGCGTGTGTCTGTGTCTCTGTGCGTGTCTCCGCGTGTCTCTCTGCCTCAGACGCAGTGCGGGATCCTCCGATCAGACACGGCATGAGCTACATGCCCGAGGAGATCTGGAGAAAAGCCGGTTCGGCACTCACCAAACACTCACCAACACTCACCAACACTCCCCTCACCAACACTCACCAACACGCCCCCTCACCAACAATCACCCTCACCAATACACACCCTCACCAACACCCCCTTCCCCAACGCTCCCCCCTGCCCCCCCTGGCCGCTCAGAGGAGGCCGTGAACGAGGTGAAGCGCCAGGCGCTGGCCGAGCTGCACCGCGCCGTCAGCGAGGCGGAGCGGCACGCGCGCGGCGCCGTGGCGAGCGAGCGTGCGCGCATGGAGCGCGCCCTCGCCGAGGCCAAGCGGCAGGCGGCACGCGAGTCGCTCGCCTCCGCCGGCAGGCAGGACGACTCGAGCGAGGTGAGAAGGGGGAGCAGGCGGGGGAGGAGGGGGAGGAGGAGCGGGAGGAGGAGATCCCAACGTGGGATGGGTAGGGGTTGTTTGGCCGAGGGTTGTAGCGGTTGTGTTGGCTCTGCCGGCAGAGTCGCCCTTTGATGTGTTAACAACAATGCGCTTCTTTAGGCTCAGTGGGATATTTACTCGATGTGGGTGTTAAAGAGTGGGCCACCGGGGAGATTGGGTGGGTGGGTGAGTGAGTGGGCGAGTGTGTGAGTGAGTGAGTGGGCGAGTGAGTGAGTGGGTGAGTGAGTGAGTGGGCGAGTGTGTGAGTGAGTGAGTGGGCGAGTGTATGAGTGAGTGGGCGAGTGTATGAGTGAGTGAGTGGGCGAGTGTGTGATTAAGTCAACCCATCGTACCCGGGTCCGTCCCGTGACCTCTTGCCAGCGCGCGTTCGACACTTCACGTGGCCTTAAAGTGCACGTAGCCTGGCACAGGCGCCGTGGCGTCGTCGCCACCACTTGGTGGCGAATGGCGGTGGTTGTTGTTGTTGTAATAATTGTGGAATGCTTCGGTGTGTGTCTGCCGGCAGAGTCGCCCAAGACAAAGAGCTTCTTAGCTTGAGGGGCTTTACTCGATGGGGAAAAAAATAAATATAGATTTGTCAACTGGGGAGAGTGGGTGTGTGAGTGAGTAGGTGGCTGAGCGAGTGAGTGTGTGAGTGCGTGTGTGAGTGAGTAGGTGGCTGAGTGAGTGAGTGTGAGTGCGTGTGTGAGTGAGTAGGTGGCTGAGCGAGTGTGTGAGTGAGTAGGTGGCTGAGTGCGTGTGTGTGTGTGTGAGTAGGTGGCTGAGTGAGTGCGTGTGTGAGTGCGTGTGTGAGTGAGTAGGTGGCTGAGTGAGTGTGTGAGTGAGTAGGTGGCTGAGTGAGTGCGTGTGTGTGTGAGTGAGTAGGTGGCTGAGTGTGTGAGTGAGTAGGTGGCTGAGTGAGTGTGTGTGTGTGAGTAGGTGGCTGAGTGAGTGCGTGTGTGAGTGCGTGTGTGAGTGAGTAGGTGGCTGAGTGAGTGTGTGAGTGAGTAGGTGGCTGAGTGAGTGCGTGAGTGAGTAGGTGGCTGAGTGAGTGCGTGTGTGAGTGAGTGGGCCAGTGAGTGTCTTGAGTGTGGGGGGCGGTGGTGCAGCGGTTAGCACGCTGCGTAAGAACCCGGCGAACCGAGTTCGATTCCCGCGCACGGAGAACCCCAGTGACGATTATCTGAACCGGTCATGGGCCTCCCCCAGGTCGACTCAGCCTAAAATGAGTACCCGGTGCGGTGTGTAGACATCGCCGTTGGGGAGATACAGGCGGCCGGTCGTGGTGCTGGCCACCCACTCCCTCGTGTGCCGTGCCGGTCTTCATAGGTGCTACCCGCTAACAGCACTTGCCCCTACAGTCTGTGAAGGCTACACGGGGGATCTTTGTCTCTTTGTCGCCACGCCAGAGCTGCTGGAACTGTGGCCGCAAGGCGAGCGAGACGTGCAGCGGCTGCAACGCGGCGCGCTACTGCGGCTCCTTCTGCCAGCACCGCGACTGGGAGCGCCACCACCACGTGTGCGGGCAGGGCCACGGGCAGGGCCAGGGGCAAGGCCAGGGGCAAGGCCAGTCTCAGGGCACGCAGCAGCAGCAGCCTCAGCAGCCTCAGCAGCAGCAGCAGATGAAGCCGGAGCCTCCGTCCCAAGCCGAGGGGTCCCCGGGCGCCGCGCCGGGACCCGCGGGGGGCCGCACGGCGAGGCCCCCCAATCCGCCGGCCGCCACCTCGGGGCTGGAGGAAGACGACGAGGAGGCGGCGTCGTCATCGTCGCCGCCGGGAGACGCGGCCGAGCCCAACGCCTCGCGCTAGGGTCGACGCGCCGTCGCCGTCGGATGATGAAGATCGGATCCAGCGGCGCGGGGTCACTGGGAGGGGGTGTGGGGGCCTGGCTGGGTCGGTGGGGGGGTTAAATAGTTTCCTCCTCTTCATCGTGGGTCTGAACCTAGGCCACCCCTCCCCCACACCGCCCCCCCCCCCCCCAACTCCGAGCCCCGGTGCAGTTGTAGCGCCTGCACACCCGACGGCTACGAACGCTGGTCCTGACCTGACCGACACGATGCGCCCCACCACCACCACCTCCTCCTCCTCCTCCCTCCCCCTCCTCCTGGGAAGGGGGAGGGGGGGGCACCGATGCTTTAATGGTGAAGGCCGCACCTCACGCGACCGTCGCGACCTTCGCTCGTGGAGGGCCCGGGGCCCGCGTCGCCACGGGGTCAGGCTTCCACCTCGACCACCTCCACTCGACGCTCTTCTTCTTCTTGTTGTTCTTGTTGTTTGTTACATCGGCGTCACGTGACGTCTACTCTGCCCGCGTGCAGACGTCCTCGTGGGCTCTCCGAGCCGGACCACGCTTAGCGCGCTCAGCGCGTCGCGAGAGGGTCAGAGCCTCGGAGGGGGTGGGCGAGCCGGGGGGGGGGGGGCTCACTGTGAGTGGAGCTGCGGGGACGGAGTGGGGGGGCAGGGGGCTCAGGCACGCGGGGTCACGGGGTCACGGGGATATCTCGTGACCTTAACGCGGGGTGGGGTGGTTGACGGTGAGTCACGTGAGGCGATGAGTTTACTGGGGACGCTTGCGCGGATGGGTTCGCAAAACTCGGGAGCCGTTCAGGCACTTGATAGACAGCCGTGGGGATCAGGCGGAAATGTCATAATTTACGCATACACACACAATCACACACACACGCACGTTTATACACGTGTACACACACGCTCACACACGCTCACACTAATTAACACACACCACCTCTCACACATTCACTACCGCTCTAACACACACACACTCACACACACTCTCACACACTCGCTCACACTCTCTCACACTCACACACTCTCACACACACACACTCTCTCACCCTCTCACACGCTCGCTCACACTCTCTCACCCTCTCACACGCTCGCTCACACTCTCTCACCCTCTCACACGCTCGCTCACACTCTCTCATAAACCCGATCGTGTCCCGGCCTCGCATCACAACGCACACGGCAGGGACGCCTTGATCCGAACCTCTTCAGGTTACTCTAAGGTCCCCTGTAAGGTTCCTCGGAGGTTCGGAACCAGTGCGCGAGGCCACGCCCCCGCTCCCCGCTGGAGACGTGACCCCACGCAGCCTCACGTGACCCCGCCGAGATCTCACCGTGACCTCGCGACCTCGAGGCCGGGAGAGAGCCCCCTGCCCTATCCCCCCAGCCCCCACAACCCCTCCCCCGTGGCCTGCCCCCCCTCCCACCCTTCCCCCAGGTCTCTGTATGTCGGCAGCGGCCACGGGGTTCGGCCAAAGGAAGGCCCGAGTCCTTCACCTCCTCATCTTCCTGACCTCCTGCCGCCGCCTCGGGCGCACGACCTCTCGCCCGCGAGCAGCATCGGCCGCCGCCACCTCCTCCTCCTCCTCCTCGCCCTCCTTGTCGCTTTAAAGAATAAAAACCAACTCCAGGCACTTCTCAGATGAAACCAGTTGGCTTTAACAGATGTATACACGGTAGACACACACACACACACAAAAATGAACAAACAAACGAAAGAATAACGTCGGCGACAATTTTGACGCCGTCGATGACAGATGATCAAAGTGAGAAGAGAAGAAGCGTGTACAGTGTTTATGTCGCGAGTTCGCGCGCGACTCAAGCTTGTCGACTCTCTCCCAAAGACACTCGAAGACTCCTCATAAGACGCCCAAAGGTTCTCTCGCCGCCGCGTCTCGCGCCGCCGCGTTCTCCTCGGAGCGGTGCACAGAGCGTGGCACGCGGGTGGTGGTTGTGTTTGGTGGTGGTGGTTGTGTTTGGTGGTGGTGGTCGTGGTGGCGGTGGTCGTGGTGGAGCGCACACACAGCACAAAGATGGCAACTCACGCTGCCAAACAGCCACCCACCCCACCGACCGACCACTGAAATACAAAAAAAAACCTAAAAAATATATATATGTGTGTGAGTATATAACTTCAAAGAAACAAAAAAAAACATGAGAAATCAAAGCCACGTGCCCCGGGCTCCCGCGCCGCGGCTGGGAGGCTGGAGGGGCGTGTGCATCGTGACTCTAGAATCTGGCTTCACGGGGTAAATAGATACATAATACAAGGATGACCTCAACAGCTGCTGCGTGAGCGACGAGCATTGTGTGATGGAGACGGGGAACAAGGGCAGAGGCGGGGCTCCTCTGACGCCTCTTCTACTCAAAGCTACATTCAGGGAAACGGAAGAAGCGACCGGCAGCTCATTCTGACGACCCGCGGAGGTCGTGAGCTCGAACCCCACCAGCGACCTCTTAGGAGCCCCTCAAGACCGAACTTGACTCTTCCCCCACTACGCCCCCCCCCCTCCAGGACCCCTATGCGGCGGTCCCGGAGAAGAAGACCGCGTGGTAGCGACTCGGCTGGGCACGGGGGGGGGGGGGGGGACAGGGGGCACGACGACTTCGTAAGGGGCGCGAGGCGGGAGATGCGTCCTCCCGCCGGATCTTCTTGCTACTCTTCACATTCCTCCCCCCCCTCCTCCTCCTCCTCGCGTCTTCTGCGATGTCGTCTTCTCCTCGTCGGCGATGGAAGCAGCAGCCGCGGCACAATGCGGGGCGCGTGCGCGCGTGGCTCCACGCGGTGACGCTGACCTCGTGACCCCACGGTGACCTCTGCGAGATGTTGACCTCACGTGTACAGCCTCGCGGGGAGAGGGGGGGGGGGCAGGAGGAGGGAGGATAAAGAGGTAGGTGGTGGGGTTGGGTGCTTCGGGTTACTTTTGCAACTTTTGGGATAAGGTGTTCCTCCCTCTTCAAACGCTCACCTCCGTTAGGCGACCCTGCGCCAGAGGTGGAAATTCCACATTACTTAGTCGGTGGCCAGTCCGGTTTGCATATGAAACGACCGCTATTGACTTCCCAAAAAGTGGTCCACGACTTATCGACCCAGGAGGGAGGGAGGGGTGGTCGGTCGGCGGAATCTAACTCTGGTGAGGCAGAGTGGGAGTTGTGATCTCCAATATTCCCATTGTTAAGTCGAACGCTTTAGCCACCGCACGGCCCGGAGGAGTGGTGGCGTAGGTGGCTGACGCCTCGCACGGAGCGTGACACAGAATCGTCACGAACTTCGGCGGCCACGTGGGCCCAGGGGTCGGCGGACCGAACCAGCATCGCTGGCAGCCTGGGCTCGAATCCAGGAAAGTGGAACATCGCTGAATGTGCGCAATAGCAGAGCTCGCTTCAAGGGATGTCACGGACGCAGTTCTGTGACATCCCCTTCCGCGGACCGTTCAGTAATAGGTGGTGGAGCGCTGCTCGATGACAGTTCCGAATGAGAACCGCGTCTCGTGGCAACGCGACACCGATAGCACAATCGGTGAGAAATGAGCAGAATCGGTTCAGTTGATTTCGGCTGAACACCACCTTGATATTACGCCTCCTCCTGCACCCCTCTTCCTGCTTCTGCTCCCCTCCTCCTGCACCCCTCCTGCTCCCCTCCTCCTGCACCCCTCTTCCTGCTTCTGCTCCCCTCCTCCTGCACCCCTGCCCCCTTCCTGCACGCCTCCCCCTGCTCCCCTCCCGCACTGCTCACCCACTGCGGGGCGCCGTGCCCTGCCCCGCCGCCTCCCCACGTCCTCTCCCGGACCCTGGGAACCAACTGCGACCGCGGGGGGTTCGGAGAGGAGTCGCGCAAGCTCGGACCTCCGCAGGGTCCTGCTGCAGGGGGTCGGGGTGGAGGCTGCGGGACACCTGATTGAGAGCCCTCCCTTGCCACACGCGTTCACTCAGGGGCTCGCAGGATCGGTCCGCGCGATTGCTTCTTCCTCGCAGCAGCAGCAGCACCCGAGTTTGGGTTCCGCGTTTCCGCCGCCAAAACCTCGTGGACTCGACGCGCGCGCCGCTCGCGCAGTGACTCGAGACCCCCGCGGGGAGACCCCCGTGGGGAGTCGGGGGGGGGGGGGGGGACCCCGTGTGGGGCACCGCGCTCCTCCCAGGCCCCGCGGAGAGACACTGGCGGGAAGAGCGCCCGCGGGAGAGTGCGACTCAAGAGGAACGGCTTTCAAAGTCTCGAGAACGGAGCTCTGAGCGCAGCGACCGGGTGACGTGCAAGCGGCGAAACTTTTTGCTGAACTCGTCCGGAGCGGTCGTAATTGACACGGTTATTTATTTATTTATTTCGCGCATTTGTGTCTTTATTTATTTATGTATTTGCTCGGTGCGGAGTGTTGGGGGCGGGGAGGCGGGGTCTGGACTCGCCCCCTTCACCACTTCCTCTGATTGTCGTCCCCTTTGCTGGAGGCGACCACCGTGCGCCAAAGTGAGCGTCGCTCGCAGACCTTCAACAACAACAACACAACAACAACACAACAACAACAACAACAAAAACACAAAACTCAACGCGTTCCCCTTCCTCTTCGGGAACAAATTCCAAATGTCTGAAGAACCTCCAAATCAAAGCGTGGGGTTGTGGGTGGGGGGGTTCAAGGGGTCACCGCGTGCGCGTGTTGTGACGGACGCGCGCGCTGAGCACGCCGCAATGCATGCCGGGCCCCGTGGCCGTGTCCGTCCCTAGCAGAGGTCCTTGCCGTAGAGTCAGTAGCCGCCGTCGTCGCTGTTCGCAGCCCGTCGTGTCGTCGTCGTCGATGTTAGTCGATGTTAGTCGATGTTTGTGGTCGATGTGGTCGCGTCTACTGCCGCGTCCGGTGCTCACGACGGAGAGGGGGGGGGGGTTATATGGGGGGGGGGGTTACTCATCCCCCTACCCCGCCGTGTCCTCCCCACCCCCCCCTCTAAAATCCCTTGACGCTTCCCCCACAGCCCCTCCCCCACAGCCCCTCCCCTCAAGTAGGGATAAACAAACCTCAATGTAGTCGCGAAGGGCGATGGGGGGGGGGCTAGAAACCCCCCCCCCCTCCTTCAACCCCTCCCCTCGTTTGGAGTCGCGAGGGCGATGGAGCGTTCGGGCCTCTGCCGAGCTCCGAGACACGGGGGGGGGGGGGCAGCTCGGCTGCGTCAACCCGCGTCACTCGAGTGGTGATGGTGGTGATGATGGTGGTGATGGTGGTGATGGTGGTTATCGTTCTTGTTTCTGTTGTTCTCTCGTGTGAGCGTCCCGCCCGGGCTGTCCCACACCGCGAGCTTCGAGCTCAGCCAACAAGAAACGATCGTCACGTGACCGCAATTTGGATGCCGCCGGTACCTATACACGTAATTATAATTTGCGTACGCGTGTTTAACTTCTTTCGCACCGTACGTAGCCGACCGTGATAATCTAATGTCCGGGGGAAGACAACAAACTTAACGCAAAAAGCAGATCAGAAGAAATTAGTGTGTCAATCTAGATTATTTCAAAGTGGATATCTCCAGTGGCTTCCTAATATTGGAAGAGCGTTCCAGACGGCCGCAGAAGCGCATCTGAAAGCGCGCGATGCAGTCACGCGGTCCCCTTGCCAATCCATGAGGCGGGGGTGGGGGGGGGCGGTGTTCACCCAAACTTCACTGCGCTGGTCAGTGCGACATTTGTGAAGGGTTGGTGGAGGGTCGGTGGGCAATGGCTGAGGACCAGTTCAGCTATCGCCATTCGCTGCTGCTGCTGATGATGATGATGTTAACCGTGGTCGGGAATCGAACTCAGGTGGTCCGCTAACCACAGCCCCCCCCCCCCCCCCCGTGACTTGGTGTAACACTTCACTGCAATGGCATCGCTAGCGGGTGCGGCGCCCTACTGCTGAGAAGCCACTTTAAAGCAGTCGCCGTTTTGTTTTTAATCCAATTAGCAAACGTTCAGGCTCGCGTGGAACAGACAGCCCCGGGGGCACACGGCTTAGCTCGGTATATCGGTGTGTAGCTACAAGATAAGAGCTGTCTGTGTTACCTACTGGGGTCGCGTGCCCGTCGGAGCGTTGGAAGTCGCCACGTGGTGATGGCGGCGGCCGCGCGCGTGCTCGTGTGCGTGCGTGGTCGAGTCTTCGTCGCCGTAAGCGGTCGTGTCGCGTCGGGAATTATCGTAGTGCGTCTCATGTCTGTGTGGACTACCTCCGAAGGCTAACCAATTAACCAATTAACAAGTTTAAAATAAAATAAAATATCTCTAATTAAAGAAAAAAAACCGGAACCGCTTCACCTTGGACCTCGGAGCTTTAATAACCAAAACCTCTCACAGAAAGCAAAGAAACCAAATCTTCGCCTCTGCTATAGCTGCTGCGCGTGTCTGAGTTTCAATGGGACCTCCTCTTCCTCCTACTCCCCCCCCCCCCCCTTAATTCGTTTTGTAAAATCTTCGTCGACCGATAAAGAAACCTCGATAAAATAATATAATAATAGGGAACTCGGGTCATTGAAGTCTCATCTGTGGTCCGCAGCTTTCGTGGACACACCTCAAGCGCGCTCATCACTTGTATCGTGATGACGACCAGCTCTGCTACGTAGACTTACATGCGTACAACAATAGCGGTGCTCGCTATCGAATAGGATGACGCAAGGTCAAATACCGAGAGCTTTATGATTTAGAGATTTGGTCAAATCGGCGAGCTGTGTGGTCGGATGTTGGTGGTTGTCTCGTCACGTTTCGCCGTGGAATCTTCCTCCTCACCCTCTCCCGCCTCGCTTCCTCCCCCCTTCTCTCCCCTCGCCAAAAATACCCCCCAACAAACCACAAAGTTACGGGGGGTGGGGGGGGGTAAAGGTTTGAGTCCGGTAACCGGTCTTATTATTCTTCGTGTCGCCGTGATTCTCGCTAAATCAGAAAAACGTCACCAGTGAGTAGTCCATGACCTGAGACCAAGATGCTTGCTTGTCTCCTGCCCGTACCGCACAAGGTGCCCATCTCCTCCCATCTCCTCCTGGCGTGGCCAATAACGGTGCATTTTGTGTGGCAGCCGCGTTCGCGACGAGCGGAGTCGTCATCGGATCATTCACCCAATTCCGCTTGGCCATAGACAAGCAACGGATACCACTCAAGAGTGTTAGGACGCTCCACTTAGTGCCCTGGCCCAAGGGACTATTGCTGCGCTACGAGAGAGGCCCCCCTCTCGCCCTCTGCAGAATGCATCAAGGCACTGCACAGAGACGCAGAGCGTTCCCGACGGTGGAGGAGAGATTCGTGCCGTGTCCTGCGAGACGGCGGCAGCAGCAGCAGCAGGAGTTGGCGCCGTGTGGTCGAAATTCCGTCGAAAGTCCCAACAAATATTTGTTTTAAGAGCAACTGAAACTTACGAATGATCGGCTGATGTTACTACAGATGCCTTCTGGCAGTGGTGCAAAGGCACAGCCGACGACAACCACGACAAGTGGAACACGCTCATCAGTGGCATCGCCTTAGAAGGGCGACATTAAAAGAGGCGACATTCGTGGCAATGACCTTCCTTCGTCATCCCAAACGTGATAGGCACGTCAAGATCATGGCCATGATCTTGAGTGAGCATCAATAGTATTACTGTCAGCATTCATACACTGCTGCACGAGGCCTCCCGAAGCCGCCGCCGCCGCCTCTCTCGCGATTTCTGCGATGTCAGAATCAAAATCAGAATCTGTATTCATCCTAGAGGAATCCGATAAGCTGTAAAGCTTTTTTCACAGATGTCCACTAGGGGGCGGGTAAGAACGTTACAACAACAAACGATTTAAAAACACGATACTTGTGCAAAGTACAAGAAAGGTAAACAAATCACCCGAAAACAGAGGAACTAAACTATCCCCATCCCACCAGGCAAAGCCCACTGAGGTATTCATTCATTGTTCAGAAGCGACCTGGCCACAAATGAACAAGGTGGCTCGTCATGTCACGAGCCCGCCCTGCACACGAGGAGCTCATCCTGTGGCTCCGCGTGGAGCACCTTGACAGACGGTCATGGAGTTCTGCTGCTCCTGCTGCTGCTGCAACTCCTGCTGTGTTGGCAGTGGTGCACGAACGCAAACAACAACAAACTCAACGCACGCTCGTCACCATCAACACTGTGTGTGGCCTGAAAAGACACGGGTACAATTGGCGACGTTTCGGGGCAATGCCTCTTCCTCAGAGCACCGACAGAGGCGTTACCTACGTCACCACGCAATATAAGAGAGAACCGCAGAGCTTGCGGGCGAATTTAGCGGCGGCTTCTCACCACCGCGTGGCTGCAGCTGCCTTCCCGCTCCTCGTCCCCTCTCTTTCTCTCGTTCTCTGAGTCGTCCTCTCTATTTTGAGTCGTCCCCTCTCTCTGAGTCTCTCTCTCTACGAGACCAAATGAACCCCGTGCAGGGGCGGTGCTGAGTTACAAAGTTGAATTTATTGCAATCATTATTGCGCAATGAAGGGGCATTGCCCGAAACGTCGCCTATTATATTGTTTTCCTACTCAATGCCCCACAGTGTTATTTACGAATGGTGTTGAGTTGTTTTATAGGCAAGTTTAATTCACTTTATCGATTATTTTGGACTGAAGGCACATGCTTAATGACTGGCTGTCACACGGAAACCAAGATACGTTCTAAAGGTGATGCGAACGAGGCGTCTGACTTGAGGATCATCTTGAAGCGAGCCTCTCTGTTGCTGTATAACTGATCTTAACATGACGTGAATTATCGTATTTAAGAGAAAAGAGCAATTCCGTACTGTGAGTGTGCGTACGTTTAATTTAATAAGCAATTCGTCTGTAAATATTCACACCGGCTCGTCTCATCAAAGTCAAAACCCACCCCCCCCCAAAAAAATAATGAAAAATATCAATAAAAAAAATCGATTGTCTCATTTCGCGATCGCGTTGCGTCGTCAGCGGCGTCTGACCCGTGAGGAAGCGCGCGCGACATCACGCGCCCACTGCCACAATTATCTTAGATCACCGACATTGGAAGGAAGAAAAAGAAAACGCTTCAAAGGCCCTTCAAACTGTGCGTGTGGTTTCATTTTTTTGTCAACGGTCAAATCTGCATAATGTTGGTGGTGGCGGGAGGTGGCGGGGGGTTGGGTGGCGGGGGACCACGTGGACCCGGGTGGTCGTAGCAACACGATGAGAGCTGCCGGCGTCTTACATTCCAATCGTCACAAACACTCGCCACGACCCGTTCATCCACTGCTGGATGGATAAGATCCCGGGTTGCGAGTTTTGAAGTTGGGGGGAGCAAAGAAGGCATGGGGGTGCACGTCGAATAAGCCAATTGGGGGGGGGGGGGCACAGCGCACGGTGCCACAGTAGCGAATTTATATCGGGTGGTACTAAGGGGGGTCCATGCCCCCCCTAATAAACAACAATAGTCACCTGGACCCCCCCCCTTCCCTCCACCAACCCGCTCGGGTTGGTAGAGAGACGCTCCAAGCTGCATCGCGGCCAAGGCGCTTGACGACACCGCCATGACCACCGCACCTCGCCATCGCGTCCTTCCCCCTGCCAGGTCTCTCGCTGGTCGCGCAGTCGCGACGCTTCGTGCCCCAGCACGATTCCGCTCAAAGTCTCGACTGCCGTGTTTACTTGGGGCCTAGAGTCAGACGCCTCACCCCTCCCCCCCCCACCCCCCGAAAGAAACGAACAACTCTCATCGTGTAGCTCCACACGAGTTTGACTCGAGGCTTTCCTGCTGAGCGAGGAAGACGAATGTTTGAATCGGAATCAGAAAATGTATTTAGACTGGAGGAGGAATCCGATGAGCTGTAAAGCTCTTTTCCCAGACGTCCAGTAAATTGGACTTCTCCCCAACGAGTGCTCCAGTCACGTGGCTGCCGCGTTGTCTTAAAGTGCACGGGGAATCGTAAGGCTACGGCTTTAGTGACATCAACAACTCTTGTTGTTGTTGTTAAATCGGTTTCTAATTCTATGAGGAAGCCGCTAAGGGTATCGAAGTGACGGCGCTTCGCTGCCCCGTCGACCCGGTTCAACGGGACGTCGGTGCGGTGACGTCACTGGAGTGCAATAGGGTTGCGGATTTAAACAGTCTCGTTCAATATCCCATGGACCTGTTATGTTTGCCACTATCAAAATTTATTTTTTAAAAAGAATAGGCTTTATACTTTGGGGCAATAAACCAGGAAGTGTGAAGATGTCCCAAACACCAAATCGATACATTTGGCAAGGCATCAAGTCTGCGTTCACCACACACGCGACTTGTGGCAAAAGTGTTTCAGTTTCCGACCTTTAGTTGGACAGCCCAGGGACTCGAGCGTGGTCGGCATGGACCCTCGTGAAGGGAATTAAATGCCCCCCGCCCCCTCCAACCCCTCACGCCCCCACCAGGCTCCCTCCTCTCCTATACCCCTGTCCCCCCCCCGCGGACGCCTAGGTCCCCCCACTTTGGCACGTGGGCTCCCAGTGCAGTTGCACCGCCTGCGCACTCGATCGTAGAGCTGCCACTCCACTTCGCGGCGACAAGATACGAGCCGATGTTGCCGGTTTAGGATCGCGTCGGGAATGATTTAACGAACCAGACCGCTGTGTTCTCTCTAGCCCAGCCAGCTGGGTTACCCTGCCCCTAACAGTAATGCGACTTGAATCATGATCGTTGAGTTCAATTGCCCAGGGTGAGTGCTGCGTAATACGCCAAGCAACAGCATCAGCCACACGCGCGTCTTCATCGTCAACTTTGCGGGGGTTGCGCTCGTGTGCTGCTGATGATGTGCAACTCTCCCGCTTGGTGTCGGGTTCAGCCGCAGAGGCTTGTCCAGCGCGATGTCCGACGTTTCGCTCCACGTTGGCAGGAGCTTCTTCGGTTGCTGGTTGAAGAGCGAACGCCAGGCGATGAACACCGTGGAGGTGTGTGGGGGTGAGGGGTGTTCGTGTTCGGGACGGACGTGTTCGTGTTAGGATCGGGGTTAGGGACTGGTTACTGGCAGATTCTTCGGGTTCGTACGTGCACGAAGGAGCTGCCCGTACCTGGAGCGAAACGTCGGACATCGTGGCGAACAACCCGAATCCAAGTCGGAAAGCTCGGACGACAACAGCAACCACCCGCGGAGTTCGGAAGCGCTGCGTTAAAACTGGAGTGAGACTTTGTTGTTGTTATTTATTTTCTAAATGACGATTGTTGTTGTCAACAACGACGATGGGCGTCTTGCGGGGTGTCTCGAGCCCCGTGCAAGGTGCGGCTACTCGCGGGCACCCAAGTCCACTCCACGTCAACGTCCGCAGGGCCCCCTAGGCGTGGCGTCACTGTCTGTGTTGAAAGCCGAATAAATGAACCATCAGCCGTGCGCGTGAGTCTGTTTCCACGATCACCACCACAACCAAAGATAAAGATGCCTCCTATAGCCTTAACAGCAAGTGCTGTTATCGAGCACGTATGAAGGCCAGAACGGCACACGAGGGGGTGGGTGGCCAGCACCACGCCAAGCTGCCTTTGTCTCTCTAGTGGCGACGTTTTCACGCACCGCACCAGGTGCCCATTTAAGGCTGAGTCGACCTAGGGGTGGCCCAGAACGAAAACAAACTCCACCTTCATCACGACCACCGCAACCTCCACCTTCATCACGACCACCACCACAACCAACACAAATACCCGCCATTCGCCACCAAGTGACAGTGACATCACCACGGCGCCTGTGCCAGGCTAGGTGCACTTTGAGGCCACGTGAAGTGTCGAAGGCTCGCTGACAGGTCCCGGGACAGACCCGGGTGCCATGAGCTGGCTGACTGAGATGACTGGGAACCAGCTGTACCCACCACTGTGCCAACTTGCTGAATGTTATCCGCCCGGCGCTCCGCTCGTTGTTGTGAGCGTCGCTCCTCTGCCCTCAGTTGTTGTTGGAGGGCGACTGCCTCCGACTGCCCAGTAGCATCCTTCACAAGCCTCCTCCACCTTCACCGCCAATACCACCACCACATCCACCATCATCACCACCCTCCGCTCCCATGCACCACTCCATCCAATCCCCCCCCTCCCAAACCCCCGACCCCCACCACCTCCACCTCTCCACCCCGGGCCCCCGGTCCCTAATCTTCTGCGCGCAGGTGCGCTCTGGGTAATGGAACGGGGCGCTTGGTCCGGGCCGTGATAATCGGGCCTCGGCAGAAGCTTCGAACCGGGGTGGGGGGGGAGCTGTGGGGGCGGGGTGCCGAGGGGGGAGCTGGAGGGCCTTTCTGAGGCTGCAAGATAAAGTCACGGGGACTTAGCGCAGCCGAACGAGACGGCCCAACCCGCGTGTTTATTTGCGATGCGGAGTGCCTGTGTGTCTGTGTGTGTGTCTGTGTGTGTGTCTGTGTGTGCATGCCTGTGTGTGTGTCGGTGTGTGAGTGTCTGTGTCTGTATCTGTGTGTGTCTGTGTGTGTGTGTGTCGGTGTGTGTGTCTGTCTGTGTGTCTGTGTGTGTGTGTGTGTGTGTGTCTGTATCTGTGTGTGTGCCGGTGTGTGTGTATTTCTGGGGAGCGGTGGTGCAGCGGTTAGCGCGCTGCTGCGCTACGAATCTGGAGACCAGAGTTCGATTCCCGCTCACGGCCAACACCAGTGACGAATATCTGAACCGGTTTTGGGCCTCACCTAGGTCGACTCAGCCTCAAATGAGTACCTGGTGCGATGTGTAAAGATCACCACTGTGGAGACAAAGCCGGTCGGACGTGCGCCGTGGCAGCCTTCATAGGTGCTGCTCGCTAACAGCACTTGGCAAAACAATATATGAAACCTATACGGGGGACCTTTATATTTGTCTTGTGTGTTTCTGTGTGTGTGTGTCTTCGTGCGTGTGTGTGTCTGTCTAAGGATACAAAGGCGACATGGTACTGGCCACACCACCTGTCCCCCCTGTCCCGTACCGGCCTTAATAGGTGCTCGCTAAAAGCATTTGCCCCAACAGTCACTTAATACTACACGGGGGATTTTCCTCCTTGTATATGTGGGGAGCGGTGGTGCAGCGTTTAGCGCGCTGCGAATCGAACCCGGCCACCAGAGTTTGATCAGCGAATACGGCTAACATCGGTGGCGAATTTCTGAATCGGTCCCGGTCTTCGTCCTAAAGGGAGCAATCGAGCGTGCGGTGTGTTAAAACATCATCGCTGGGAAGACAAAGACGGCCAGGCGTGGTGCTGGCCACCCACCCCCTCGTGTGCCGTGCCGCCTGACATAGGCGCTCGCGAACAGCACTTGTCAGAACAGTCTATTAAGGCTATACGGGTGATCATTATCTTTGTGAATGCGTGTGCGCGCGATGTGTGTGTGTGTATTGTCGCGTTTGGGTGAGCCTGTGCGTGTAGTGTGTGTACCTGTGTGTGTATGCGTGTGGGTCTACGAGTATGTGCGTGAGTGCGTGTGTGTGTGTATCTGGTTCTGGGCCTCCCCTAGGTCGACTCAGCCTAAGGTGAGCATCCAGCGTACGGTGTATTTAGACATCAGCACTGGGAGAGACAAAGGCGGCCGGGCGTGGTGCTGGCCACCCAATCCTTCGTGCGCCGTGCCGGCCTTCATAGGTGCTACTCGCTAACAACACTTGCCCCAACAGTCTGGCGAAGGCTATACGGGGAATCTTTGTTTCTGTGTGTGTGAGATTGAGAATGTGTGTGTGAGTGACTGTGTGTGTGAGAGTGTGTGAGATTGAGAATGTGTGTGTGTGAGAGTGTGTGAGTGTGTGTGTGAGAGTGTGTGAGTGTGTGTGTGAGAGTGTGTGAGAGTGTGTGAGTGTGTGTGTGTGAGAGTGTGTGAGTGTGTGTGTGAGAGTGTGTGAGAGTGTGTGTGAGTGTGTGTGAGTGTGTGTGACTGTGAGAGTGTGTGAGAGTGTGTGTGTGAGAGTGTGTGAGTGTGTGTGAGAGTTTGTGTGTGTGAGAGTGTGTGTGAGTGTGTGTGAGAGTGTGTGTGAGAGTGTGTGAGTGTGTGTGTGAGAGTTTGTGTGTGTGAGAGTGTGTGTGTGTGTGAGAGTGTGTGTGAGAGTGTGTGTGAGAGTGCGTGTGTGAGAGAGTGTGTTTGAGAGTGTGTGTGCGTGAGTGTGCGTGTGTGTGTGTAAGTGTGTGAGAGTGTGTGTGAGTGAGAATGTGTGAGAGTGTTTGTGTGAGTGTGTGTGTGAGAGTGTGTTTGAGAGTGTGTGTGTGTGAGAGTGTGTGAGAGTGTGTGTGTGAGTGTGTGTGTGAGAGTGTGTGTGAGAGTGCGTGTGTGTGTGAGAGAGTGTGTGAGAGAGTGTGTGTGTGAGAGTGCGTGTGTGTGAGAGATTGTGTGTGTGTGTGTGTGAGGGTGTGTGTGTGTGTGAGAGTGTGTGAGAGTGTTCGTGTGTGAGAGTGTGTGAGAGAGTGTGAGAGTGTGTGTGAGAGTGCGTGTGTGTGTGAGAGAGTGTGTTTGAGAGTGTGTGTGTGTGAGAGTGTGAGAGAGTGAGTGTGAGAGTGTGCGTGTGTGTGAGTGTGTGTGTGTGAGTGTGTGTGAGAGTGCGTGTGTGTGTGTGAGAGAGTGTGTTTGAGAGTGTGTGTTTGAGAGAGTGTGTTTGAGAGTGTGCGTGTGTGTGTGAGAGAGTGTGTGAGAGAGTGCGTGTGTGTGCGTGTGTGTGAGTGCGTGTGTCTCTGCGTGTTATTAATTGTTCTCTTTGATCGCCATTGAGGCGCGTGACAGTGAGTGGTGTGCGGGAAGGCGGGGATAGTGGAGGCGAAGCTGCGTGCAGCTGATAAACTCTGGAGACGGGGGGCGGCGGGGGGGGGTCTGGTGGGTTGTGGGGGGGGGCTCGGAGGGGGCGACTGGGGGAGTGGGGGAGGCAGGGAGAAGTCGCCGGTGCGGACATTCACGCGGCGTAGCGCACGCAGATACACGGCGCGTACAGACGCGGTGTGCGGTGGTCGGTGTCCACACGACGCAACAACGACTGTCGCTCGACACTCGGTGGTGGTGACGTCACCACGACGCTTGTGCCAGGCTGGGTGCACGTGCCTGACTGAGATGATTGGCAGATGCGCCGCCGGTGCCACCTCGCTGCGTCTTCGCCCGCCCGGCGTTTTCGAGCGTCGCTCCTCTGCATATAAACAAAAGATCCCCCCGGATAACCTCAACGGACTGTTGGGTCAAGAGCTGTTTAGGAACACTTATGAAGGCCGGCACTGCACACGAGGGGGTGGGTGGCCAACACCACGCCCGGCCGCCTTTGTCTCCGCAGTGCTCATGATTAAGGCTGGATTAAGGCAATGCGAACATACATATACAATTTAACACGGGCACACACTCACACAATACACCAGCATAACAACACGCGCACACTCTACGCACGTACATACACACACGCTCTAACACACGCACACACGTACACAGGCACACGCGAACACACGCACACACGTGCATACACACACGCACAGTCTAACCCACGCACACTCCAACACACGCATACTGCAACACACACACGCTAACACACGCACACACTAAGACACGCACACACTAACACACGCACACACTAACACACGCACACGCGTAGCACCAAGGGGGCTCAAGAGCTCACACCGCTAATGAATTTGGAGGAGACGATAACGAGGAATCTCACCCCATTATTCGCCTCCAGCCCTCACCCCCACATTGTCAACCACCAGCCCAGCCTCCACAGCCCCCGCTACCACCACCACCACCACCGCCCCTCCAGACTCACACACTCTCACATTCTCTCACACACTCACACATACTCACGCAGGCTCACACAACACAACGATACCACGAAAAGCATTAGCAGGGGCAAGCGCTGTTAGCACCCATGAAGGCCGGCACGGCACACGCGGGCATGGGGTGACCAGAACCACGCCCGGCCGCCTTTGTCTCCCAAAGTGCTGACGTTTACACGCCGAGCCAGAAACACATTTTTAAGGCTGAGTCGAACTAGGGCAGGACCAGCACCGGCTCAAATAAATACATATTCGCCACTTGCAATTGGTTGTGGGAATCTAATTCGGCTCGCTGCGTTCGTAGCGCAGTGCGCTAACCACTGCACGACTGCTCTCCACTATAAACCACATCTATAAACAGTATACGGTGCAGTATAAACAGTATACAGTATACACACTAACACACATACATCAAATGCCATTTGCCACAAAGTGGCGGTGACATCGCCACGGCGCCTGTGCCAGGCAAGGTGCACTTTGAGGACACGTGAAGTGTCGAAGGCGCCCCGACAGGTCGCGGGACAGACCCAAAGTGCCATGGGGTTGACTGACCTAACTGGCAGATGCACCACCTGTGCCCCCTACTGTGTCAACTTGCTGCGTTTTAAAGGCGCACACATACCGTCATATATGGTCAGACTGTTGGGGCAAGTTCTGTTTGCAAGCACCTATGAAGGTCGGCACGGCACACGAGGGAGCACCACGCCCGGACGCATTTGTCTCCCTAGTGGCGATACAGTATTTACACATCGCATCAGATACTAATTTAGGCTGAGTCGACCTAGGGGAGGCCCAGCGTGCGATGTTTACACAACGCTTCCCCACACACACAAAACCCCCCGTATAGCCTTAATAGACTGCTTGGGCAATTGCTGATAGCGAGTAGCACCTATTCAGGCCGGAACGGCACACGAGGGGGTGGGTGGCCGGCACCACGCCCGACCGCCTTTGTCTCCCCAGTGGCGATGTTTACACACCGCAGCATTTGAGGCTGAGTCGACCTAGGGGAGTACTAGGACCGGTTCAGATCATCGTCACTGGTGTTGGCCGTGAGCGAGATTCGAACTCGGGACCCAGGTTCGTAGCGCAGCGCGCTAACCGCTACACTACCGCTCCCCACACACTCACCCATAAATAGACACAACATCTCTCACATGCACCTACTCACACTCTCAACAATCACCAACAGAGCCACCACCGCGTCGATCGTCACCACCAGGGCTGGACTGTACATGTACAAATTGCGCTGCTAATATTGAGTCTTCTCTTCCAAGAGGTTTGGGCAGCGTGAAAGAATAGGCCAAAGTATACTTTAGAGGGAGTCTCTATCGTGCAGGATATTCCGGCAGCAATGGCATGAGCGAGCAATTGCAGCGCTGCGTCTTTACCTTGGATTGTCGGTATGACAATTGGCGGCTTGGGAGTTAAAAACTAAACTAAACTAGAGCTGTTATAATTATTATTATACCAGATAAGATTCACTGTGCTGTATAGATTTTTTTCAGAAAAAACCTGGCCACAAATGACAGCTGGGCTTATCGCGCAAGTTGTTTCTAAATGTGGCGAGAAAACCCGGAGGTCCACACGACCACGGGACGAGTAGCATGCACACTCCAAATATACAGAAGGGGTCAGGGATCGGATCGAACCCACGACCTCTTGCATAGCAGGCGAGAGAGTTCACATCTCACCAGCGTGGCGCCTCTGTCACCCGTGTCATGGATCCAGCAATCCCTCTGGATGTGGCCGTCACGGATGCAATCCCTCAAATTTGGCACGGGACTCCTCTGAGTTCGCGGTTCGACTCGTGTTGCGGGTGAATATTTCATGAGAGCTGAATAATGGATGGGATGGATGTTGCTTGCTTGTCAGTTTCGTGGCCACGGCCACTCGGGCGAGCGTCTTGGCACAATTCACCGTGGGGCGATGCCGCCACCTGGCGGGGGCATTTCATATGAGGCCGATGATCGTGATCGGAATATTTACTTATTCTGCCAATTAAAACGGATGAAAAAAATACCCCGTTAAAAACTGAGTCATAAAATCATACAAAAATCCGTTCAAAACGAACTTTTTAAAATACAAAAACTAAAAAAAAATTAGGATCTTTAAAAAAATAAAAAAATCGTAAAAAAGGTAGGATCTTAACACATACAACCGTTAAGTGTTAGACTAAAGACAATACGTTAAATAACAAACATGTTTACACAAACCCACGCAAACAGTAACATTTTAACTTAAGAAGGGAGTATATGTTGTAAAATTATAGCAAATGTATAACAAATACGAACTAAAGAACTTAGCTTGGAGGCCGATCTTGACACTGCTGGTACCGGTCTTCAGCAAGTCCACTCAGCTGTGTTTGTTGTTGTTGTTGATGATGAGTCGCACCATGAAACGAAAGGATCATAGAAAGGAGACTGAGGAAGCTGATGGATATTGGCGAGAGTCAGTTTGGATTCAGACGGGGAAGGGAAACAATGGATTCGATCTTTGCACTGAGAGTATTGATGGAGAAGTTCAGAGAGAAGACACGGGGCCTGCGTGTGGTGTTCATTGATCTCGAGAAAGCGTAACCACAGGGTGTCTAGCGAGCTCACCTGGTGGTGCATGAGAAGAAGAGGAATCCCTGAGGTGTACGTCCGGCTGATCCAGGATCAGCGTGAACGAGGGAGAGTGCACGTGTGAAGCGGCTATGGGGTGTCGGGGGGCTTTCAAGTGAAATCCGGAGCGAGGTTCCGTCCTGAGCCCCTTCCTGTTCATCCTGGTGCTGGACACATTCACGAGAGAGACATGCAGAGGGAGCCCCACTGGTGGATGCTGTTTGCAGACGACATTGTGGCGATGCGGTGGAAGCAGAGGGGATAGTGGAAGAGGATTTGAAGATCTGGGTGCAAAAGATTGAAGGGAATGGGTTGAAGAGCAGTCGAGCGAAGACGGAGTACACGGTGGCAAGTTTCAGTGGAAATAATGCAGGAGATTGATAATTGGAATTGACCAGTTCATGAAGACAAACGAGTTTAAGCCACAACGTGTTGCTGTTGGGTCACTATGATGGATGAGAACAATAACAAGGGCTGGATGGCTGAAATGGAAAGAGATGACTGATGTGGTGTGCGATAAGAGGGTCCCAGTTTGGTTGAAGGGAAAAGTGTGTAGTGTATAGTGTAGTGTACAATGTAGTGTATAGTGTAGTGCATAGTGTAGTGTATAGTGTAGTGTATAATGTAGTGTGTAGCGTAGTGTATAGTGTAGTGTACTGTGTAGTGTATAGTGTAGTGTATAGTGTAGTGTACAATGTAGTGTATAGTGTAGTGTATAGTACAAGACGGTGGTGAAGCCGGTGCTGTTGTATGGGGCCGAGTGATGGGGTACAAGAAGAAGGGAAGGCAATCTACGTCAGTCACAGAGATGAGGATGTTGGGTTTAACAAGGAAGAACAGGGTGAGAAATTAAGACGTGACAGGAAGGCTCAAGGTGGTAAAATTCACGGAGAAAATGAGCGAGAAAAGGCTGGTGTCGTGCGGTCACGTGGAGAGACAACAGGAGAATTACGTGGGTCAGAAGGTGCAAGTGACGCAAGTGGAAAGTGATGAAGAAGAAGGCAGAAGAAGAGGTGGAGGGGGGCGATGTGGTGCGATCGGACACGGTGGCCCGAGGAGCGGAAAGAGAGATGGCGCAGGACGTGGCAGCGTGGAGAAGGTTGGCAAGGGCAGCGGACACCCCCACATGAGTGGGACAAACGCGTAGAAGAAGAAGTTGTTGCTGGTGGTCATAGTGTTGTTGGTATTGGTGTGGTGTTGTTTTGAAGGCGCTGCCACGGTCTTTGTAGAGTCATCAGCAGTCATATTTGCTTCAACCAATTATATTGCCCTGCCAGGTGTTCAAAGGCAAGGCACCTCTCGACTGCTGAAATTGTGCACTCCCAGAAAGCAGGCCGGTGTGGCTGACGAGATGTGTAAAATCATTGTATTTTCAAAGTGGCGGGACAGATTGCCTCGTTGTTTCCTCGACTATTGTTGTATTTTCTCCATCAGTCTCCATGGTTTATACCCGTATGTCAAAGAAGAAGAAGCTGTTACAGCACCACCGCGAAAGCCGTCCGCGCAGTGCGGTCGATGCATCTCGTTGTTTTCACGGGTTTCTTTTCCGAATCCCAGTGTTGGCCAGAAACACCGCGAAAACAATTGTGGCAAATTTACGAACCCAGTTTTTTTTGTCCCGAATCACCGAGTGATACCGGTGATACTGCTGCTGCGTTGGCAAGTAGCGCACAAGCAACAACACCAACACTCTCAACACAATGGGCTTAAAGTGAAAAAATATATATTAAATAGGCGACGTTTCGGGAAATGGCCTTTCTTCATAGCACACGTGCTATTACGGCCACACACAGTGGTATTGGCTCATGTGTTAGACTTCTATACAGAATGGATCCCCGTGTTGTCCTAAATCTAAACTAATAACAAGGATCCGTGTTGTCCTTGATTGGGTTTCCAAATCTCTCGTTTTTTTGTATTGTTTGTTGTGGTAACGATCTGACGCGGCCCTACTGGACATCTGTGAAAATAGCTTAATAGCTAATCGGATTCCTCCATTGTAAGTAAACAGTCTGATTCTGATAATTGCTCGAATACGCGCTGTGTTAATTCGAGTGAAAATCTTGGAGATTCGTATGATGGATGGAGGAATAAAGAACATGCTTTAATATTGTGAACGTCCGTAATATTTTGTTCACATTGAATGGATTTCGGACGCAGTGATTGGGAATACGTTATAGTATTGTATTACACTTTGTGGCCAGCAGACGGCAGTCCCGCACATATACTGGACTATAATTGTTGTACGGCACTGCTGTGCTTCCCACCTTCACGAACCCCAGTGTGGTGTCAAATAACCCCCACGACTCAGCACGGCGTGGCAGGGGGAGGGCGTGCATCCAGCAGTGGATTTACAAATCACTGTTATGTCTCACCCATCACGACTGTGTTCAACAACCACACGTGTGCAGATCACAACAACGCACTCAAAGACTCACCCACTCACTCATCCACCCACTCACCACACTATAAATCACAACAACACACTCACAGACTCACCCACTCACTCACCCACCCACTCACCACTGCAGGTCACAACAACACACTCACAGACTCACTCACTCACTCACCACTGCAGGTCACAACAACACTCACAAACTCACTTACCACACTACAGATCACAGCAACACACTCACTCACCCACTCACTCACCACTGCAGGTCACAGCAACAAATACACTCACGGACTGACCCACTTACTCACCCACCCGCTCACCACACTGCAGGTCACAACAAGCACACTAACAAACTCACTCACCCACCCACTCACCACACTGCAGGTCACAACAAGCACACTAACAAACTCACCCACCCACTCACCACACTGCAGGTCACAACAAGCACACTCACCCACTCACTCACCCACCCACTCACCACATTGCAGATCAACTGTCTTCTCTTGTTGCTTCCTCCCTTCGTCTCTCTTCTACACAAGCTCTTGTGATAAATAACCTTGCTGAATCCAGGAAGTGCGTGCCACTCTTATCTATTGCAACGTAGTTAGTGCCGCATGTTGCTGGCTGCTAGATGTTTTTGGTATTTTGCTCAGCAACTGTGTACAAAAAAACCGTTCCACCCCAGGTACTACTGCTTTCTGCAGTGACCCATGGCTCCTACCATCTGGGAATTGCCCAGTGAGATTGGAACGTTTGGAAAAGGTTGGGCCAACATCGGTCCAACCAAAATGCCAACGTTGACCCAACATTGCATGTTCACCGAGAGAGGACTTGTGTTTAGTGTTTGCCCCAGGGTCTGTTGTATATATAAGAGCCTTCTGATCTCAATGTCTCTCACCTCAGGAGGATTCAGGTTAATGATGCGGAGCTCTCGGGCATACAGGCGGTGCAACTCTGCGAGGACTTCAACAGCCAGATGAGGCCCGGGCTCGGGGCGACTAAAGAATCGGGTACATTGGAGATAGGAATCCCAATTAAAATGCCTTGCACCAGGGCCCGTGCCAAAACTTTCTCGCTGCAAAATAGATAATATAAAAACACCTAAAGTATTTCTTGCACATTCCATCAGCTCCACAGCCTTCTGGGAGCGCATACTCTCAGCAGCATGGGCTCAGTCCAAGCAAACCTCTCGACCAGTTTCGGTATTCAGTATCTCGCCAGCACGGTCAGCCTCGCTTGAATCGATGCTGGCGAACTGGGGAAACGTTATAGGGACCGTCTCCTGAAGACATGGGTCCCAGTTCGATGCAACATTGTAAAATAAGCAACTCAACATATCACGCTGCTGAGGTCTCCATCGACACACAAACCAGCCCTCGGAGACAGGGTTGACGGGGGGACACGTGGGGAATGGAGGAGTGAGGATGGAGTGGATTATCGGGAAATTGTGGATAAGACGTGATTTGGAGGATGGGAGAGAGATGGTGGAGGAGGAGGGTGATGACAGAGAGCCGTGGTGAATGGGAATGACGGAGTGGGTGACGATGGAAGATAAAACATAAATACAACGTCAGGCCCACTGATCAAGGTAGTGCTTTTTTAGAAGCGACCTGGCCACAAATGATATCTCAGCGAAGTAAGTTATCGTGTGGAAATTTATAGCAGCCAGACACTCTAAACGCGTGATGTTGATTCTAAATGTGGTAGGAAAACCCGGAGGACCCGGAAAAAATCCCATGCGACCACGGGGAGAGATACAATCAAATTCCAAACATACAAACAGGCGTCAGGGTCGGGATGGAGCCCACGACCTCCTGCGCACCAGGCGAGGTAGTTAACGTCTCGCCACCGCGGCACCGCAGGCAAGCGATGGAGGCGGTGTGATCATGCTGCTGATGAGGGCATCTGACAGAGGGAGACTGTGGAGGGGAACTTGAAGGACAACAGCGAGAGAGAGCTGGCAAGTGTTTAATACCTCCCCTGGTATACAGGAGGTCGTAGGTTTGATCCTGATCCTGACCCTGACGCCTGTGTGGTTTGGAGTTTGCGTGTCTCTCTCCCCTTGGTCGCGTGGATTTGTCTCCGAGTCCACATTGAGAATCAACATCACGAGTTCAGAGTGTCTGGTCGCTATAAATGTCCACGTGATAAAGTCACTATCTTCGTTGAGATCTCATTTGTGATGACCAAGTCACTTCACCAAAAACGATCTCTAGAGCTCAGTGGGGCCTCACGTGGTCAAATCAAAACAAAGTTGACGTCGTGAGTTTGTCCTCTGTCATGCCGTGTGGGTCGTGAGCGTTGTTTGACCACTCGTCGAGTTGATACACCAGTGGGGCTTTGCCTGGTAGGATGGGAATGGTTCAGTTGTATTTGTTTGTGTTTGTGAGATTTGTTTACCTTTCTTGTAACTTTGCACTACTCTCGTGTTTGTGTAATGTTTGTTGTTGTGACGTTCTTACCCCCGTATAAATATTGTGATTCTGAGCAGTGCGGGTTGTTGAACGTGTGGAGCACAGACGCGGCAGCGTAGAAGTGCATTACAACAACGGGGTTTTGTGGGCCCGTTGTTCAGGAGTATTTGGCTGCTGTACATGTCCACACGATAAGCAGTTGTTGAGCTTTCATTCGCGATGCCCAGGTCGCTTCTGATAAAGAGCTGCGTAGCTCAGTTGGGGCCTTACCTGGTAAGCTTTAAAGCTATATCTATAGTTCATAGTTTATTATTTATAGTTCACAGGATGTTGCAGGATGATGATGGAGGAGGAGGGGGACGTCGCGAGGTCGTTGGGCGGAGGAGTCCCCCCCCCCCGCGTAGCCCCCCCCGCCCGTCGCCCCCCCCCCCCCCGCGCCCGTCGCCATGGAGATTCGCGTGACGCGCCCCGCAGATCCGGGCTCGGGGCTCCCAGCCCCGGGAGGTTGGGGGAGACACGGAGACATCGCGGGGAGACACCGCGGGGAGACACGGGGACACCGCAGGGAGACACGGGAGACACGGGGAGACACCGCGGGGAGACACGGGGACACCGCAGGGAGACACGGGAGACACGGGGAGACACCGCGGGGAGACACGGGGAGACAGGGAGACACCGCGGGGAGACACGGGGACACCGCAGGGAGACACGGGAGACACGAGGAGACACCGCGGGGAGACACGGGGAGACAGGGAGACACCGCGGGGAGACACGGGGAGACACGGGGACATCACAGGGAGACACCACAGGGAGACACGGGGAGACACGGAGACACCGCAGGGAGACACAGGGGGACACCGCAGGGAGACACGGGGTTTGTGGGCTGGGCGTGTTACGGAGCGAGACGGGGAGACGGGTAATCGTCCACGCCGGAGACGCGGGTTCACTCACGGGACACGGGGTGGAGCAGGAGGTGACTTGGCGCTCCTGGCATCACCCTAAACTCCTCCTCCTCATCCTCCTCCACCACCACCTCCACCTGCACCTGCAGGGATCTCCCACTCGTGAGGAGCTCGCGGGTGGGAGAAGGCAGCCCGCTGAGACGAGGCTGAGGAGGGCTGAGGTTGAGCAAGCTGCAGGAGCCGTGCGACAGGGAGGTGGAGGAGGTTGAGGAGGAGTTGGAGTGAGTTGAGGAGGAGGAGGTAGCGAGGAGGGGGTGCTTGAGGAGGTTGCGAACGCGAAACGTTGAGCGAGCTCAGGAGGAGGTCGCGGGAGAAGGAGGGAGATTGACGAGGGGAGTGGGGGGGGTTGAGGAGCAGCCCCGGGGGGGTTGTTGAGGAGGGTTGAGACGACGGCAAGAGGCTGATGTAGCCGAGAAGCTGGAGTCAACGTCTTGAGGCGTTGGAGGTTGAGGAAGCTGGGGGAGGAGAGGCCGACGAGGTTGAGGAGGAGGCTGACGAGGCCGACGAGGTTGAGGAGGAGGCCGACGAGGTTGAGGAGGAGGAGGCCGCCGGGCATGGAGGGCCGTGCGGGCTGGTGTGGCCGTGCCCGTGGCTGCTGCTCCGCGAGCCCCGAGGCGGCCGAGAGGCGCATCGTGGAGGCCCTCCTCGCCTGCAGCGGGGGGGCCGCGGGCGACGAGGAGCAGGAGGAGGACGAGGAGGAGGAGGCGGCGGCGAGGGCGAGGGGAGCCTGGGCTGAAGAGGTGGGAGAGCTGCTTGTGCCGTCAACGCACCGCGCGCCGACTGAGCGTGAGCCAAGATGACGGCGTGGAGCGGTGCCGGATTATCCTCGTAGCAAAAGTAGCTACACGTGTAGTAGTAGTAGCTGCTACACGTGTAGTAGCTGCTACACGTGTAGCAGCTACTACACAAGTTGCTACTACACGTGTCGCTACTACATGTTGCTACTACACAAGTAGCTGTAGCAGCTACTACACAAGTTGCTACTACACGTGTAGCTACTACATGTTTCTACTACACAAGTAGCTGCTACACGTGTAGTAGCTACTACACGTGTAGTAGTAGCTGCTGCTACACATGTTGCTACTACACAAGTAGCTGCTACATATGTAGTATCTACTACACAAGTAGCTACTACACATGTAGCTACTACACACGTGTAGTAGCTACTACACAAGTAGCTACTACACAAGTATCTACTACATATGTAGTAGATACTTGTGTAGCTACTACACAAGTAGCTACTACATGTGTAGTTGCTACGGGCCCCGCGCTAAATGCTTTCAAGCTATCAATTCCGGTTCAGTGATTCTGCACTTGCTCTATTACTATAGTACTATAATGCCTTCGACTACGAACGACTGGGTGTTTAAGGTTAGCGATTTGTCGTATTATCTGGCTGTGTAGCAAATGAAAACATACAATTACTTTACTGTGCAAGTAAAAAAATGCGTGTTTTAATATTCGTGTTTTTAGGGCCCCTTTATGACACATGCGACCAGCACCGCGTAGGGGTTGGCCACCCATCCAGCCAGATCGTGGACTGGCTGCCGGTATGGAGTGCGCGACCGTGTGCACGAGTTTATTGAGCGGTAACTGTGGAGAGATTCGGGGGTTGTTGGATGTGGGTGCCCCTAGTGATTTGTAACCGGAGATCTGGGTCATCGTGCATGGGCACCCAGAAGGGATGGAATTTGAATGATGGTGCCATCACTGTCATTGCTGTTCCGTGTGTGTGTTGATCGAGGCGGGGGAGCATAGACGTGGGGGCATAGTGTAGTACAATGGAGTTCGCTGAACTGCCCACAAGTTATGCCGCACAAGGCAATTAGCCAGCCAGATTTTCGTGCCTTAGAAGCAGCGCACTCAGAGCAATTGTTTGAGTCCATCATCCATGCGTCCGGTGATATTTGCGGCCGTTCGTCAGCATTGATTCAACCAAGCCTGACTGCTCCGTCGAAACCGCTCCAGTGTCGCTTGTCTTGAGATCAGTGCTGCTGAAATGACGCACTTTCAGCAGAACGCGTGCCGTGCCTGATGGGTTGTATAAGAAATTATTTTACAGCAAGTCGTCATGCAGAGAGGTGGACCGGTGAAGGAAACGTTTGTGGTGCTTATTTAAATCATCATCAAACGTGGGTCGACACAATAGGTATCACTTTGTGGGAGGCCAAACAGCGATTAAAACTAATCAAATGTTTGTTATTTTACTAATACATTTTTTAAAAGAGCTATATAACTCAATGGACCTTACTTGGTCTAATAAAAAGAAATAGTTTAAATAGTTTAATTTTCCCTCTTCCATGCCGTGTGGGTCGTGGGTGTTGTTTGACCAATCGTCGAGTTGATCATTGCGAGTTGTTGATCGTGTGGGAGCACAGACGCAGTCTGCGTCACACGACGTAGCCCTGCAACCTATAACACCTGTTGTGCATGGAGTATACTGTATTTGGGAGAAAATACAACGTAAATATTTCTACCAATCGCAGAACAATTGCGTAGGATGTCCCCGGTTGCGCTGCGTGACTCTCCGATGCGTTACCAGGTCGTGCCGCGCGCGTTGTTCGCCGTCATTGGCGACGTACGGTGCGAAAGAAGGTCAACATACGCACATTATGTCCGACGTTTTGCTCCACACGCTGGGAGTTTCTTCAGGAAGTGAAAACACAATGCACGCAGTCCAACCCGAAAACAAAACACATCCGAGAAGCAGACTCGGACTTTATTATTTTAGCTGCCCAAGGCCCCATTGAGCCACGCAGCTCCATTTACTCTACCGACAGCCACAGCCCAAGACCCATCGGCTGTGGCCGCAGCTACAGCACCTTGCAGGGTGGACGGAATGTGTAACCAAGAGCAAAAACAACAAGTTATTATTGACACAAAACCCATGCCAAAACTTACTGCAAACCAGATAAACAACACAAAGTGCTTACATTAAAGCAAGCCTAGGACTCGTGCGTCATTGTTTTTGTTGTGATTGTCGTGGTTGTTCCTGTGATTGTTGTGGTTATGATTGTTGTGGTGGTTGTTGTTGCTGTGATTGTTGTGGTTGTCGTTTCTGTGATTGTTATTATTGTCATCATACTGCAGGTTCACGGCTGGCGCCGCTCCGCTCCCTACTCCCTGCCGACTCCGAACTCCGCGCGTCGCCGCGGCGCCACCGGCCCGTCCACTGCGCCCGCCCGTGGGTCCGCCGCGACCTTCCGACATGGCACTCCGGGCCGGCCAGCGGCCGCTCGGCGAGCGGCCCGGGAGAGTGGCGGCCCGGGAGCGGCGCGGGAGACCTGGGACTTGGCCGCAGAGCCGGGGGCCCGGCTCGCGACGCTTCAGCAGACCGCGTGGGGCAGATGGACGGGGGATAAGTGGACAACACGGATGGTCCACAGCGAGGGTTCGTCTCCACGGGGCTGCTACCCTGATCCCAATGAGCAGGATGAGGAGGAGAAGGATGGTGAGCAGGATGAGGAGGAGGAGCATGAGGAGGTGGAGGCACGAGGGGAGGTGGAGGAGCTCTGCTCGGCCGCGTCTCGGCTGCACGTGGCCCCGCGCGCTCTCGTCAGGGACGAGGACTGCGCCACGTCGACCGATGAGCGGAATGAGGATGGGCGAGGTGCGCACCACGGCCCCGTGCCGGAATCCGGCTCCAAAGCTGGCACAGCCCATGACAGCGACCAGGGGCCCGACTTGCCACCGTCGTTCAGCCTCTACTCCGTCTTGCCGCCGGTGAGGAGCGAGGCTCGCGGCTCTCTGGCCAATCCGGCGTCGGGGCTCTCCGACCCATGGCGGCACCTGGACGCGGACGTGCTCAAGATTGACAATTGCCGGCGTGTCGAGTCGGCACCGGCCGGGAGGGGGAGCGGCGGATTGAACTACGAGCCGCGCGGCCGCCGACGCTGGTGGAGCTCCAGGCAGCCCGCGGCAGGGAGGGCGGCCAGGAGGGCGACGGGATCGCGCGCTCACGAGCGAGCGGCCAGGGTGCGATGCGGGGTCGGGACTGCCGGCAGGAGGGGCGGACGAACGGGAAAGGATGTGGCGCAAAGGTCGGGTTCCGGCGGCGGGAGCGGTGGCGACGGTGGCGACGCGGAGAGCGTGGGGAACGCGCGGCGAGAGGGTTTTGAAACTCGGGATGAGCACAGGGCCGGGGGGCGCCTGCCGCTAGTGCAGGGATGCAAGGTCCGTATCCCCATGGTACCACACACACTGCTCTTGTGACTAAGACCAACAGAGTGAAAAAACAGCCGCTGTATCATCATCGTCACCGCCACCATCGTCATCATCTCATCATAAAATGCTCCCTGGGACCTGGATGCGTCTGAGCCATGGTATGGATCCCCACGTGGGACTTTCAACTAAAACCACGGTTGAGAGATGTTTATCGGACGGTGTTAAAGTGCACCGAGTGCAATCGAGGGACACGTGTTTACAGCGAGCCACTGCTCGACGCTTACCGAAAAAAATACCCGCGGGCACACTCAGCTTACACGCGGGCGGGTGCGACGACCTCACTGCCACGCCGACTCGCCTTTCATCGCTCCGGACTCATTAGCGCGTGCGGCTCCATTGACTGGGGTCATTAATCACGGCGGCGAGAGATCACGGGTCGCGGGATGTGGGTGTTGGCTTACGGTGGGCGTCGAGGTGAAGGGAGGGGGGGGGCATTACGATGTTCGCAGCTTGTAAGACGCAAAACACACCGCTGAGATGCGTAACGCTACGTGAGGTTCACCCAACTGACCACCGCGGGCCCCCTCCCACTCTCACGCAAAGTTTGTGGTATTCGTACCACAGCACCATTGTGTAACCCCCCCCCCCTACCAAGGAATATTGGAATATTCGCTCCCGCCAGCGGACGTTTGTTGCCTTCAAAGAGGGCCGAGTGTTAAGGTCAGCTTAAGCGATATAAGCTGAGAAAAAAAACCCAGCTACATTGGCGAGGGCACAGTTAGGGCCAGATCGTATGAAAATGTTAAATGCTACTGAAAAAGTGCTAACTTTATAGAAATGCTGTAAAAAACGTGGCCTTAAAAAACAAGGTTTTACTTTGAAATACACGCGATTCCTTGTCTACAAAACCAAATAAGGGGGATAAAAATATTGGGAAGCGGAAATAATACTTTGTCCGCAACTTGTAATGCTGGATGGTCCTGGAGTGTCGATGCGGCGGTTCACGCATTGCACTGAACCCCGCGACCTCGAGTCAATTCCCAGCCACGGTGGCGAGTGACATCTGAACAGGTCCTGGGTTTCCTCCTCCTTCACCAACCTGCTCTTTCCATCGTGGTGAAGTATGGTCAAATTACCGCCATTACCGAGAAGGCGTGGGGAGGCATTCAGCAATGGATTGAATAGGGCTGTGCAATGACCTACTCCTTTCTACAGAACACAGAGCGGCAGAGCGATGGTGCAGTGGTCACACTTGTGTCAAAGCAATAAGGGCCTGGGTTCGATTCCCGCCTCGACAGCCTTTCATTGCGAAGTTCAATTTATTTTCCTCCTGTTCTGCGTGGATTTCCTCCAGGTTCCCCAGTTTCCTCCCATAGTTTAAAAACAAAACATCAAAACCCCATACAATGCAATCTTAATTTTAGAACTTTCGTGACTGCAGTAAATGATTATTTGGTTCTTTCGGTTAAGTCACGTCTAAAGATAAAATAATAAATTAAATTAAATAATAGCATACGACGTTTCGATTGCAACACAAGCAATCATCATCAGGTATAATGAAATAGCGACATAAAATCTAACCAGAAAACTATACAGACATATTAGCAGACAGATATCACCAAGATACATAGAGGGAGCAACACAGGAACCAGAGAGGGGTGATCATCTCTGTGGGGTGGCCTTACAATATACAATGCAACCGGTGTTGATGAAAACTTAAATGCTGCAAAATTACCAGACAATGATTCAATCGAGATGACACGCACACATCTGGTCGGCGTTGGGTGCTTGCAAGTCGTTGGCGCTAAAGCACCCGGCAGGGGCCGCTTGTCATTATTCATGGCCACGGGCGATTAATCTCAACTGCCGGCACTCGGCGACGATGTGTAATGTCCCCCCCCCCCCCCCCACCTGTAAGGTGACATGCGTCTTTAAAATATACAGACGCCACGGGAGTGGTCGCGCTGGGGTCGAGCAGAGGAACGGGGGATGGGTTAAAGATTACGTACCAGGCCAGTATGTATGTTGAACTTCTTTCACACTGTACGTAGCTAACCGTGCTAACCGGAGGTGCAGGGGAAGGACAGGAAACTAGTGTTCTTATTCGTAATGTTTTCCTCTTAGTGCAAAGCGATTTACGTGATTTTTTTCGTAGGATTGTTAAGCGTTAATTGGAGGTAAATATGCGCTTGTGTCAAGGTGGCTATTCGGGTCTCGCCATCACAAACCACCAGTCCCGTTAAACGGATGTTGAAATCGTGTGCGAGATGTATTCATCCACAATAGGCCGGATAAACTACAGTTAATCCCCATCTGCAGATTCAGGCCAAATTAATTGGCCAAGATCACCTTGGCCACTTTTATTCGAAAGGGCGCCGCGGTGGCGAGATGTTAACTACCTCACCTGGTATACAGGAGTTCAATCCCGACCCCGACGCCTGTATATTTGGAGTTTGCGTGTTCTCCCCGTGGTCGCATGGATTCTTCTCCGGGTTATCTGGTTTTCCCTCCACATTTCGATTCAACATGCGTTTATAGTATTTGGCTGTGATAAATTTCCACATAAGCCACTTCATTGAGCTGTCATTTGTGGACCGGTCGCTTCTGAAAAAAAGCTAAATAGCTGAGTTGGCCTTACCTGGTAAAAGAAAAAGTTTAGTTTTAGTTTAGAAAATACGGCTTTCAAGCCATGTTCCTGTTGCTGCCCCTCCACTGTCAGGCCATTTGACGCGTCGTGAATAATTAAAATGGAGAGGTTATTATTCGTTAGAGCGGACTTGTTTTATTCACACTCAACTCTCGCGAACAGCAGTTTTTGTTGACGAAAATGAATAGGGTTCACCCTTCCCGGCAAGACATCAAGGCTGCACTAACCACACGCATGCTTGTGGTAACACAGTGCAGTTTCGCTGCAAAATTGTAGTTATCTGCGAACGACGGTCAAAAACTAAATTTTAAATAAAGGATTCGGCAACACGTTGCTGGCACAATCGCTTGCGTCAACAGTTTTATTGTGCATTCCGTAGAAAACTTTCCCAAAGTGCAAATAAATTAACTTCACATGGAACACCGATTCGACTTTATCGGGGATCCGCAACATCCCTGCAGCAGCAGCATCGTCGTCGTCTGGGAATCCGAGGATCAGGCGGAGGTGTCGTAGCGTGGCGCCACTGTAACACAAACCAGGTCCCCACTGCCCTGAGGGTGGCATTCACTATTAATGATTTCACCACGGCATCTCAGACACGGATCGTTTACATTGCTCGACAGCTGCCATGGTGGGAGGAGGGGGGAGGGGGGCTGGAGTGGGCACCATTGACCAGACACGAGTAACGCACTAGTGACGTTGCGCGCGGGGTGGCTGAACCAGCGCCATCGGCCGGCATTAAAAGTGGAAGTGCTGGAAAATGGAGGGCACATCGGCCTTGGCGCCTGCCCTGGACCCCGCGTGCGACTCCTCGCTCTCGGCCGAGGAGCCGTATCCTGGCGAGGTCTGTGCGTCGATGGACCCGAAGGGCGTCTCCATGCCTCCGAAGTCCAGATCCGAGAGCAGGAAGTCGTCCTCCATGGTCTGCGTCTCGATGCTGGTGAAAAAGAAATCGTCGAGGTCGTTGCGGGGCGTCTGGGTCTCGGCCGAGCTCAGAGGAGCGCGGGAGCTGCCTCCCGCCCGTGTCTCTCCGGAAAGCGAGCCGGACTCGGCCGAGAAGTTCATCACGGGAGTGTCGAGCTCGGGAATTGACGCGACTTGTTCCTGCGGCGCACCGGGCTCCGTCTGGGTTTGAATGTGCAGAGGCACACAGCTCGACGTGAAGTCCAGCCTCAGTGCGTTGTCTCCTGCCGAGTCGTCGGTGGAGAACGAGGAATCTCTGCGCACATCCGCCCGCATCATGGAGGGGTGTGCAAGCATCTCGCCCTTGAGGTCGATAGAATCAGGGCACGCCATGGAGGACCCTCGCTGCAAAAACAAGTCGGTCTGTGTCTCCGTGTTGAGGGCACTGTTGCACGCAAAAGTCATTTGGCTCTCAGGCAGCCTAGAGGCGTACTCTAGAAAGTTTCCAAGGTCAGTTTGGGTCTGAGTATCCAGCAGTTCAGCACAGTTTCCAGAAAACCCAGCTCGGACTGCAGGGAATTCCAGGGAGGAGTCCTGTAAGAGAACCTCCAGGTCGGTCTGGGTGTAACTGTCAAACATTTCCATGTTGAAGTCGTCTACGAGCATCATCGACGTCTGGGTAGCCCCGTCCACCCTCGTGCTATCGGGGGCTACGGAGTTCGGCGCCACCAGCGACGTGTCTGTCTGGGCGGACGTGTCCAGCGTGCCGGGCGCGATGCAGTGGTCACCCCGGTCTCGCGAGTGGGATGGGAGCGCCGCCCCCGACAGCAGCTGCTCCAGGTACAACTCAAAGTCGTGGGTGTGCGTCTCCGTGTCCACGCCGCTGGCACAGCCAGCGCGCATCTGGCTCGGATCTGTGTTCGTATTTTCAGGCGCAGTCGCCCTGTCGCAAACAACCGATTCGAGGGTGCTCAACTGATTCAGCTTGAGACCCTGGCCGAGCATAGCCATGGCGTGTAAAGTGTTGTACATGGAAGGATCCTTGAGTAGGCCGAGCACCGTTGAGTTATTGTCACCAACAAATATGCCAGCGTTACACGGTGTTGAAATGTCATACGTACCACCACTAAGCTTTGGACCCAAGGAAATATTTCTGCTATTCGGATCCCACGATGCAACGTTGGGAATTAATTGCTTCTCTGTCACCTTAGTGATTTGTATTTGGTCTTGCCCTGAATCCGTCTGTACCGCAAAGCTGGACGTCGTTCTTTGAGGATTGTGCTGAGTTTGCGTGCAAACGCTATTCGACGCGGAACCCACGGCGGTGAAGCTAACATCGGTTTGCGCATTTGCACTGACCAAGAAATTCAGCGGATGTGAGTACGTGTTCGTGGCTGAAGAATATGGGTTAGAGGCACCATAGATATCATTGATGCACACCTCGGTCTGAGCTTCGCACGTAATCGCTTTCGGTGACGCATTAGATACGGTGGAGACTGGCTGCAAACAATGCTTGCCATCGAGGTCCAAAACAGCGCCAACTCCCTTGGAGCCCTTGGCGTTGGCGCCGCCGAACGCGCCAGGGACGAGCGCCAGCGTGCTCACGATAGTGCCCGCCTCATCCACGGCGACCACCACGGGCTTGATGGAGCTGCCCTCTCTGTGGCCGAGCAGGGCCGCCGCCCCCCGCTGAGTCACCGAGAGCTTCAGCAGCACCGCACTCGGCTTGGGCAGTAGCAACCGTTTGGACGGTGTTCTCAACGGAGCAGACGGCGCTAGTGGCGGTGGCGGCGTGGGCAGCGGGTCGCTCTCGCACTTCGGTTTCGAGGAGGCGACCTTTGCACGCACAGCATGCTGCTCCACGCACCTCCCTCTCGCCCTCGGCGCGACCGCCGCCCGCACCTGATCTGCGGCGATGGACGGGCCTTGCTGAGCGGCGCGCGCAGGAGAGCGGATCGGCGCCGGCGGACAGGCGTCCGGCGTCTTCGGGGAAGATTTGTCGATCGCCGGGGCGGGCTTCTGCTGTGGTAGTACCGCCGCCATGTCTTGCGCCGTGGGGGTGGAGTCACCGGCGTAAACATCGGGCTGCTGCGTGACCGACACCACCCTCATGGGGGTTTGCACGCTGGACTGGCTCTCCAGCTTTCGTTTGCGCCCGGGCGGCACTCTTGAAACAAACAAAAAAAGAAATGTAGATGAATTGTTAAAAGTCAATAATGGTTTGTCATTACAGTAAGAGCTGTTATAGATACAAATCTCTGGACTGTGTTCCAGGCTATCTTGATATGCTTTTCAAGTAAAAACAAAACGACTTTGAAGTTATGGTCAGGCTGTAGTACTCTCGTGCCATAGTGATGGGCGCTGCACGTTTGTACCAAAAGGTATGGAAATGATGTTACAGTAATGGCTTTGCAGAGTTATTATGGAAATAAATGCAGAAGCCATGAAATATTCAAATAGTCCATATCGGGCAGCCTGGTAGAGCTCCAGCATGTATCTACACGATTAAAATATGTATGTTTCAATTACAGCTTCCTTTAAAACAATAAGGTGCTGGCACCGGTGATCTCAGCTCCCTCATGTTGGCACCAGCAAGCCCTGCTCCTCCATACCGGTACCAGCAATCCCCTCTCCCTGTGCTGCCACTAGCATTCACATCTCCCCATGCTGGCACCACCATAGCTCAGCTCCCTTATGCTGGGACCAGCAATCCCAGCTCTATAAAAAATAACTTTATTTCACCAGGCAATGCCTACTGAGCTATATAGCACTTTTTCAGAAGTGACCTGGCCACAAATGATAGCTCAACGAAGTGGTTTATAATGTATACTTTAAGTGCATGTTTCTAAATGTGGAGGGAAAACCGGAGGACCCAGGGAGAAATTCATGCGACCACGGGAAGAACATGCAAACTCCAAATATACAGGCATCAGGGTCGGAATCGGATCCACGACATCTTGTATACCAGGTGAGGTAGTTAACATCTTGCCACCGCGGCACCCCTCTCTCCCATACTGGCACCAGCAATTCCAATTCCCCACGTGGCACCAGTATTCCCATGTCCCTTATGCTAGCACCAGCGATCCCAGCTGCGGCCCTGCGCTTGCACCACAATTCCCGTCTCCCCACGCTGGCGTGCCTGTGCTCCTCCGGCAACACGTGGCCGGTGCGGTAGGCGTGGGAGAGCAGTGCGGTGCGGCTGGCGTAGGGGCAGCCACAGGAGCAGCTGAACACTCGGCCACAGTCGCCCTGGTGCCGCCGCAGGTCGGCGCGCGTGCTGTACCGGCGCTCGCACACCCCGCACTCGTGCGTCCGCTCCGCGTGCATCTTCAGGTAGTGCTGTGGGGAGCGAGCGTTGGCAGTGTGGATCACTGATGTTATATACAAACTTTGAACCCGTGGCACCACACCACGAGAAGGCAAATAGAGTCG